TTTGTTTATACATTCAAGTGGATATGCAGGACAACGTCTGCCGGGTCCGCTAGTTAATTTATAAGATTTTCAAAATAATTTTAAACTCCGAGTAACTTGATATGCTTGATGTCTGTAGGATCATACCTCGTAGGTAATGTAAAAGATGTTCACAGAATTCCAACTCATCTACAGGACCCGTTAGCTGTAAACCCAGTTCTAACAAACAAAATGAACAGTAAACTGTAATGTAACGTGTTAAATAATTAATTATGTAATTTAGTCTGAGTATTCATTATAGTGTTTATTGCATTCAAACCGCGTTCATGAGTATGGGAGAAGCCGAAAATGCGCCGGTGTGGCACCCCAAAGCATACAAAGTAGACCTCACATGATGTTTTTGAACTGTGTTCACATTTTTGTAGGTAATTCTATACTAACATGTTTAGTCGTTAATATTGATATGAAACTTATGTATCTTGTTATTAATATGGCTATAAAATTATTAGATATCTATTTATACTCTTGTAAACATTATTGTATACCACCGTATGTATCTAAAACCACTTTTTGAATTTCTCTCTACACGTCCAAAGAGGACGAAGCACATAGTTTAGTCTATTGTTTAAAAAAAACAAAACAGTGTATCGTTGGTCATGCTCGATGTCACGCTGGTTTTTACATACGAAGACAAAAGCTCGCGGCGAAGATTGAGGTCTTTGGAGTACCGTTCTTAATTTACTAGACACAGTTGTGTTAATTAAACTTTTTCTTACTGGTCCTAAGTTGTTTACGGCAGGAAAAATGCTAATAAACTAAAATACAGAGGCCTTAGTACGAGTTTGTTTTACGTTTAAAGTATTCGAAACGAGAACGCGTTCGGCGTTGTGATTGGCCGGCGCCATTGAAGCAACCAATCAGAGCGCCGAACGCGTACTCGTTACGATTACTTTAAACGTAAAAGAAACTCGTACTAAGGCCTCTGAACAAAATTACTGGAAACTTTGTCGAATGTCATAAGTAGTCTACATAAAGCCCTAAAACTAGATGCAAAATAGTGCTTTCAAGACCTCATATATTTAACAATACAAAACCAAACGGTCAAGGAAACGATGTCAGTACACTCAGTACGAAAAATAACTGTTACCTAGTCATATGGAGATCATTTCTTAAACAATTTCGCACGCCCTTTCCTCGCCAAACGGTACTCAAAATGAGATGCTTCAATACAAACAAGTATTGTAAATTGTAATAGGTACAGGACTGAAGTCTTCAATAACTTGTAGGTATTGAACTTTACAATCTGCATTATACACAGGTCCTGAAGAAAGGAAGAGAACCTATTGTTTATTGAAACACCGAAGTCAAGTTGGTTTAAACAACGATTGTTTTAATTTAATGTTAGCTACCACAGTACTAAATGGTTATTAACCAAAGAGATTAATATTAACACACGTATTGTACAGTGTTAAATTAAAACAATAGGTAAGTTACCAAAGAAAATTAGAATTCGGAATTAAAACAAACACAAAAATGCAGTTTTCTCTCATATTGCGCAATTCCAAACGACACACTGATATTTGAGCCCATTCATGATCTGAATAGACAGAGGCTTGCTCAATGGCTCGTGCTCTGATTGATCATTGATCGCACACACGCCGAATGTAGGTCACTGCTGTTGTCAACTTTTGACTGCGCTGAGACAAGACTGGTTTTATACCAGCTAATTGCCATAAAATCGCATTTGACTATGAAGTAATGTTTCAAGTTACGCAATCAATGACAAGTCTGCGCGGATTAAAGAATCGACCTCATTAGCTATTTCAGATTATTTGCTTAATGCTTAGTCGCCAATTACGGGTGTGTCAGTTGCTGTAGCCAAAATTAGAACGTTCTAGGTTGATGTTAGTCATGTTTTAGTCTATATTTGTAGCTAAATAATATTAAGCTAGTCAGGCGAGGATAAAAGACAAAGATTTCATCTTAAGCACAATTTGTTTCATAAAGTAACATAGAATTAAAGACAATCATGTCAGTAGTGACGATTCTGACTAGGGCCGAAGGGACATAAGGTGCAGGAGTTGTTCCGGTAGGGGCGTCCAGCGGGTCGCGGGTGGCGGGCGGGGAACAAAGCACAGGGCGACGACCTGGCGACCGCGCTCACCTCGCGACCACCGGCGGATTTTATAATAACCGACATGTCTTAGTTTTCTTAGTTCTATAACATGTCTTACTTCTTAGTTCCACGCCAGGGCTTGTCGCGAGCGTGTGAGAGAGAAGTATTATACTTACTCAGATACTTCTTTAACTACACGTGACGTGAGCGTGTGCTTACACCACATGCTTGCTTGCTTGCACTCACTATACGAACTTCATAGCATTGAAAAAGTGACACCCTATTGTTTCATTAACGAAATCTCTTAAGAGTCATTAGTAGATGAAGGATTAAATAAGCAGTAGGTATTCTGTGAAATAAGTACCTATTACTGAAAAAGGTATTATAAAAAGAAGACAGGTTGATTAATTGGTAAACAGATTTAACAGCAAATATTGAATCTTTAGATCCGGTGTCATCAAAACGTGAATAATTATATATACTTAGCTTAGGTATACTAAACTCAAGTGTCTGAATGAATTACATAAATGACTAAGTACCTAGATAAGTAATTGCAAATAAATTTAAATTGTAAAATGTCTGTTCCCAAATAAATGTATAATCGTGAATTAATTCAAATTGGATTAACCTATACCTACTTTTGTTGTCTAGATATCTAATATCCTACTATTCCTACTAATATTATAAATGCGAAAATATGTGAGGATGTATGAGTGTGTGTGTATTTGTGTTTGTTAATCTTTCATGAACAGGGGTAGATAGATTATGGTAAGGAATAAGGCTAGGCATAGACAACTTTTTACCCCACGGGCGCACGGGCGTAGCCACTGGCAGAACCTAGTCATTTTATTAATAACTAAATACAAAATATTTCCACTTCGTCGATGTCCTTAGAAAAATAAGTGATCTAGGTGCCAGCTGCTTAGTGCTTACATTAAAACCTAATTGAAGAAAACTAGTTCTGCGTAGAGTACCTGGCAATATTATGTTCTGTTACGACATTGCGATTTTAAAAACTTCAGTAAATATAATGCTGTATCTAACAGACCCACTAAGCTTGTTTATAATAATAGTCTTTAACGACTTACTGTGTACGCTTTATGCCAATGTATTTAATTTTAATGTAAGATCAATTTATTACTTGACTATATTTTTTTTAACTTAGCCCCACACTAGGATTATCTCCTGTGTCGTGGGTGCGTTTACAAACATACAAGTTCACATACACATGACACCCAGACCCGGAACAACAATTTGTGGATCACACAAATTGTTGTTCAGTGCGGGAATCGAACCCGCGACACGTTGCACGGCAGCCGGTTGCCCAGCCACCGCACCAACCGTGCAGTCATAAATATGTACTTATGTGGCTTCTTGAACTGAAATTCCTTTTTAAATCATCGAAAATTAAACACTTTGTGAACAGAAAACTGTTCCGTAATTAACTAAAAATAAAATACTTTTTAATATAAATCAACTGGAATAAATTTTAATAAATAATCTTCTAAATAATGAACAGAGACGTTCACTTTGTCTGGCTACCAAGTTAGAACGATGTTAAGCATTCGGTTTCTTATATGGCAACTGTTTAAGCAAGGAATGCGCCGCGCCTTGACTCTTGCCTTCCGACCTTCAAATAACTCAACCCATGTATTTGCATAGGTGCATCCTAAATCAGAATTTAAAAAGGTTGTCACATAAAGTTATGGGATTTTGATCTCTATTACATCAAACTTAGGAATTGTTTTAGCTGTGTCTTATTTACAGAGTAAATTCTTCACATTTATCGCTTTAAAATTGTTGATTAAAATGCTTACTTTCTTTGCTACGCTGACTTATAGACAGGTGCGTATGTACCACAGATATGTGCGTACCAATTTATTTTAACGAGTGCAATTACTAGAAAGCTTATTGAAATATTAAATTAATCCGTTTTACTAAATATGGACGATGTAATAAACAAGAACTTTCTTTTCTATACTTATCTTTTCAAAGCTATAATATAGTAGGTACGAGACACGAATGTAATTAGATATTCTCTGAACAGCAACGTGCATTGGCAACATTAACTTTTGATGACATTTCATTCATATTATAACTTATGCAGGTAGACGATAAAAATTCGGATCGGCAAAAATTAACATGACTGCGTAAAAGCTTTAGTAGGTGCCCGTTCGGCTACCGCGCCGTGTCAAAGTGAATCACTAGTGTCAAGTGAATCCAGGAAACAATGGAAAATTCTAACGAAAAACGTCCACTCTCCGTTGCGCAGGAAATATTGGAGAATTCCACAGAAAGCCGTCCTATTTCCGCGGCACAGGAAATAATGGAAAAATCGTCGGAAAGTTTTTTAACCTCTCACAGTCTCAGTTGTTGTCAACCACATTGTTCCGATGCAGACGTTGAGAAGTGCGTGTAATTAAATTTGGTTATATTTTTATGCTAATCAACCATATTTTGTGACCTCTCCGGTTACGCTACGCTGGGTGATTTTGCCCACCATGTAATTATGCAATCTGTTTCGTAATTGGATATTAATTGATAGTTTTTTTGTCTACATAGATAGAAGTGATGGTAGTTATTTGTTTAGTTATGTAGCTGGTGGAGCAAGTCTTACTCAAAATTTTGATGAAAATGGCCATGATTTTGTTATCTACCTACCGGTATTTTTTATTGCGTTGTAATATTCACTTTTGATGTATAAGTAATTAATGATTTATTACATCGAAAAGCAAATGCATTAGTTCAACTTTAAACAGGATTCTTGTATCAATCGACTTTTCAAAAAGTTCTTGAAATTGTTATTTATTAGTAGGTAGATCATCAATAAAACAAAATGTGTAAATTATAATTATTATTACCTAATTTTATGTAAATTCTCACAATTCTTTTCATCTTTTTACAGAGGCGAGAAATTGTACGTGACGGCAGATAAACGGGGCGAGAAAGGAGGTTGCAAGCGACCTCTCTGCTGGACCCTGCTGGGATTAGTCGTCGCAGCTATAGTCGCCATCATCGTTCTAGCAGCAAGTAAGTTAATATTACTATGCCTTTTTTAAATAGTAAAATAAATATAGTTTTTAAGCTAAAAATGAGGCGAGTGACACGTACGTAGGTTAAATTGCGGTTTAAATCTACCCACTTACTATTTCATTTAAAAATGTTCCCTTTACCTTCATAATATTTTGTAATACGATTTTACTCAGCGAATGGTGTCGTTAGATCATCGTCAATTAGCAGGAGTGTACATAGAATGACTTCTGAGAACGTTTATATAAATGAAGTGAAATGGAATGGCGCATTCATTTAAGTATCATCAGTACGTAACTTTTTTACTTTCTAAATACAAAATACTAAGTATGTGTAGATGAAGGTATGTGGGACTAATTGCATACCATGTATCATATCGCCTTTAATCCCGAAGAGGTAGGTAAAGGTAGGTACACAAATACAACGTGACTGTATACTTTACCAGTCGTGTTATAAGTCCCATCTAAGCTATCGCAATTCCATCTTTCTTGTGAAGAAGACTTCCTAGGACAGTCATCAAACCACATACTAAATGTAACTTATTAAAATTTCAGCGGGTATCCTATTCACGGGCTCACCAACTCCATTGGAACAATACAACGCATCGGTGAATTCAGCGCGGGCGCTAGGTGGGATCGGCCACGTTCACCACGACCATGGATCAGATCATCAACACCAGGACCATAATGAAGACCACCACAGTGCTGAACATGATCATAGCATGGAGACGACGGAGCATCAACACGGACCTGAACCCCAGAGCGATGAAGCTCACGAACCCTCCGGTCTTTCGGAGGAAACCGGCGACTTCACTATGTATGGTGAGTAAACTGCTTTATAAACCTTTGGTATTACCTGCATTTTTAAAAATAGACACGCCTTAGCCGTATAATTTGAGTACTTAAATTCTATACAACCTGCACTTTAGAATGTTTTTATTACCTATTTTGGTTACCTAATTGTTGAAGCTCTATAGACGTATTTCGATTTTAAATAGACAAGAATTTCGTTTACTGCTCCTTTTTGACTTTGACTTTGTCTTTAACTTTATTATTTTTTCTTCAGTACCCAGAACTGTGGAAGGCGAGTTGAAGATTGACAATGAAGAATTCTCTAGCGCGCTTCAAGACCCTGAGAGCAACGAATATAGAGAATTTGTCACCAACTTCGTCCATGGAATAAAAGGAGCACTATTCGATAGGAACCACCTCGACAACGGAGCAAACGAGATCACAGTCGAAGTTACACAGCTGAGGTAATCATAATATACATACATATACATATTTTAATATACCAAACTTATCGTTATTGCCATTGCCACTAACCAGGTTCAGAACAATTGTTTTTATATTCAAGTACCTACACAATAGAGTAGCAATTAATAATATTTATAAATTACAGGAAGGGCTCGATCATCGTCACCTACAGAGTCCACTGGAAGCCGAAGATGAACATAGAACCCACAGAAGATTTGCTTAACGCAAATAAACTTGAAGCAAGACTCGATGACTACCTCTCCAAGAACAACCGAATGATCAACGTTTACCACATCGCTGAAGACAAGATAACTACCAGACCAGTGCTAGATATCTGTCAAATAAACAAAAATGGTTGTGAACACGAATGTGAATTCGATGAAATGACCCTAGATTTCACCTGCACGTGCCCTCATGGTCAAATACTAGACATGTCGAATCCTAAAAAGTGTATATCGTTATTAGATTCGGAAACTGAACAAGAAAAGACTTTACGGTTCTTACAGTAGATGCAAAACCAATGACTACAAAAATAGTACCCATAGAAGAAAAACCTACAACTGAAGCAGCTACATCACACGAAAATACTTTCGACTGGAAAGAAACTCATCATATGATGCCAGAAACGACCACCGAAAATGAGCCAGATGTTAATTTCTCTCACATTTTCGGCCACACAAATAACAATCAAGAACAATCTGAAACCACCAAACCTGACTCGAGTGAAGAACATCCAACACCTGAGCCAGAACCTAAAGCTGAGCCTGAACCCAAACCAGAGCCGGAACCTAAACTTGAGCCAGAACCTAAACCTGAACCTGAGCCGACCGCAGAGCCTGAACCATCAGCAGAGCCTGAACCAGCAGCAGAGCCTGAACCTCATACGACTGTCGAACCAACACCTGAACCAACCGCTACAGCAGAGCCAGAACCGGAGGCTAAAGCCGAACCAGAACCGACCGTAGAACCAGAGCCGTCCGTGAAATTTGGACTAGAATCAGAACCAACACTTAAACCGGAACTTGACTCTGAAACAGAATCAGAAACTGAACCGAAGTCTCAGACTGAACCGTCTGCTGAACCAAAACAAGAATCAGACCCAGAATCCGAACCTGAACCTGAACCCGAGCCCGGTACCACCACAAATGCTCCGGAACCTGTTGCATTAAATCCTGCCTTCATAGTACGAGAAAAACAACGAACAATGTCCACTCCTGAGCCAGAACCAACATCTGAACCCGAACCATCACAAACAACTACGCCAAAGACTTCGGAAATCAATCACACTCTAGATACATTCATAACCCATATGCATGAAATAAGTTTTGATACAGAACACGATACCTCTCCGGTTACCGAAATATCCAGCATGTCTACAGCCGCAGGTAATACCCCGCAGTCCTCTCAAGAGATAACGGAAAATTCAGAAGAAAAATCGATTTTATATACCAACAAAGGTAAATTTGCGTACAAACCTAATGAAGAATCGGAGAGTACTACGAGACGCATCTCTATATCTGAACCAAACCTTATCAATGAGCCGTCATACGAGCCGAAACCAGAAATAATCTCAATTTTAAGTGCCAAACAACGAACTGAAAAACCTTCAGAAGCAACTCATACTTCAGAAAGCGAAACTCCAACGACTGAGATAAGTGATTGGCTGGAATATCATAATTTAGGTAAATCTGACGAACATAACCAAACTGATTTCGAAGAGCTCCTTAATAACAATGTGAACAAAATTATGCACGAATCAGAACAGAGGTCATTTAAAGGATTTGATGATGATTTCTTATATGAAACAACTACTGCGATCAACACAAAGTCACTTTTCGAAAGTGAATCGCAAGATGAAACCAAAAAAGATGTGACAACCCCAAGCACAGAAATAACGAGAAGAATGGAAGCGGTCAGCAAAGTGACAGCCTCGATTTTACCTGTAAGTATCGAAATAGAAGAAGGAGAAGTAAATAAAATAGAACAGACTACTACACCAATTCCAACAACCACTGTTGAACCTGAAACAAAACAGGAAGCAGAAAAATCTTTACCAGACGACGAAGAAACAGAACCTGAAAAGGGACCTATGATAACTTCTATCCTGGAGGAAGTCAAGTCATTAGATACTAATAAGTCGATGCCATCCGAACAAACAACAACTGCTGAACCTGAAATTGTTACGCAATTTTCAATTAACAAACACTATCAAGAAACCGAAGAAGATAAAATAATAAAAGTATTGGAGAACAAACCGAATAATAACGAAACTGCAACTGAACGCGAACGTGAACGGGAACCTGAAGAAGGTATGGATATAACTTTCGATGCCATAAACATGCTTTACAATCGTTCCTCTAAGTCTATTGAAAAACCACCCGTGAGATCGGACAATACTACTCAAGGTATTCCTGCTACAACTGAAGAAATTGAGGCCGGTGAGTCTACAGTATCAGCTTCTACTGACTCTGATTGGCTATCAGAAGCAGTGACAGAAATAAACTACAATGAGGCTATGAACAAAATGGCTAAAAATGAACCCACAGAACCCATTATTCACAAAGTTGATGAAATAATGAACCACGGTCTAGTAAAGGCTGACGATTTTGAACCGGATTACTTAAACAATATGGGATCAACAGGAAACAAGCAAGAATCAGACGAACCTTTGTATGGAATGGCACACGATTACGATAATGAAGATTCACGTTTTAAAAGAGTAAATAAAGAAGCTACAACTGAAACAACAAAAATAGTTGCCACGGAAGCAACTAGTGAGCCGGCTGATATGAAAGAAAATAAGTCTGAAGTACCTGCAACCACTAATGTGCCCATTGAAACTACTACAGTCACAGAATATATTTACAAAGTCGCTGAAAAGTCCATTAACATTCCCCAAGTTACTGCAATGAATAATAATGAAACTGTAGCCGATAACTCAAATTCTGACGTTACTACTGTAACAAAAGAAACAAATTATGAAACCACTACAGTTAAAAATGTCGAGACAGAAAAACCTATGGATGCTGTACCTGCACCCGTGTGGGAAGAGTCAGATGCTGATAAGTATTTGACTGTCCAAGAATTACCAAAAAAGATGGAACAACCTGTATTTGAGCACCCAGTCATGATTGATGAAGTAGTCATGCCATCTGTCGTTGATACACCTACCACAATCGCGCCTATGGATGTATTCATCACGAATTCTACAATAATTGAACCCGAAAATAATTCCGAAACTTCGACAAATACAACACAGTTAAATAATCTCAATGTAAATATATACGAAATACCAAGCCATAATGGTAATAATTCAATGCACTCGGCGAAATCTGCGAATGCTCAATCAGCGGAGTATGACGATCACGAAACAGAAATGAATCCTTTCTTACCTGAGGTCGAAAACAACAAGAGTTTAGTTAAAAAACTTCAAGAAGGTCATGATCTTGAACCGAACAATCTTACAGAGACTCAAAACGAAAACACGGAAGAACATGTCTCAAGTCCTTCGGAAGGAACATCTAATAAGGACTCTTTAGCAGTAATAGGCAAAGAAGTTGAGGCAAACATTAAAAATCAAGAAGTAGTAAGTTCAACACCAGTGGCAGAAGAGGATACTTCATTTAATGAATTGCTTTTGCACGTGAATTCTCATGAAAACAAAACAAATGTCACCCAGCCCATGAATATAACAGATAATGATGCTGCTACAACTACAGCGATAATAGACCAAATGACCAGTGAGGTGAAAATATCTAAACCCAAGGAAAGTGACCCACTACCTGTCTCCACATTCCTATTGGACACTGATGATCTAGTTACTAAAAGAGAATCCACTACACCCGCAAATAACATCGACATAGATGTTGAATCCGCAAGCCCTACTACGTCTGCGCCCGCAGCCAACAACGAAGGGGACCTCAGCGTGGTACCCATCGAAGAAGAAAAAGATTTGCTGAAACAGCACAAAAGTGAAAACATTGAAGAGCTCAATGACATAAGTGATTTGCCAAAAAGTGATAAGAGGACACTAGATGATTCAGAAATTAATAATGAAGCGTAGTCTGCGGCTCAATTTTAACACTGTTAGTTATAAATTTATTTTCCATTTCCTGTGATTCCGTTGACACTATCGATCAAATTATTCTGAACAGATTATTTTTAATTTGTAACAATTTTAATGCAATTTTAGTTCTGCATTCAATTTACTGGGTTTCGATTGTTAGAAACTTGCACAGTACCTTATATTAATGTCCTATTCATATTATCGTGAACAATTTATTCATTAGACTAGTCAAACTAGGAAGAGTCATCGTCTTGAAAGAAAGATTTAGATTTATTTATTGCTTTGTCTATAAAAAATAAGCAGATAGAGTAAAATGTATAAATATCTGGTAAAAACGTATGTACTTTAAGTATTTTACGCGATGCACGCTCTGAAGGTACACGAAAACCTTAGGTCCTGTAATATTACGCCCTCGATCTGGAGGATTACCTGACAGTCCTATCTTGTAATTGTTACCATAGCTAAATGTATATTATTTTATTTTAAATGATTCTTGAATCGGACGCTATAACGAGTTGGAAACAATGTGGTGTAACCGTTAGACGGCGTTTGTTATTTTCTTGTGATTGTCTGCCATGCCGTATGTGATAACTCGCAGATAAACTATACATTCCGTTCGTACTTATTAACGTAGTGATATTACACAGAAGTGAGGTCTGATTGTAAAATAATAATTAATTTAGTAATTGTTAACTAAGATAAATATTTTGTATAAATGGTTGATTTGTAAAATAATTGAATTATGTTGTAAATAAATATAAAGTTAATAATAATTACATTTGACTGTTAATTACCTTTCCAACAACACGCTGTTGCAATAATACAACATGAGTAAAATATCGAGACTTTATTAAGTACCAACAAACAATATAACTCTTAGATAAACAACAATATTTAAGTAACAAGTTTGTTTCAATCACAGAATATTTCATTGTTTGGTCGGGGCGTGATGTCCTCTATTTCTTGTGCGGTCACTTGGTCGTCGAGTAACATCCTCGCACACAGACACCCGTCGCCCATCATTCCATTGCCACTAACAATACAGTTACCCAGTACCTCCTTACAAGTATTGTAAACGTAAGCATTGACTTCGTTGTCTTTAGCTTTCCCTGGCTTAACATCTTTAGCTATGTTCATGGAAGGAATGTCCATTTCAAATATGTCTTTTAGTTTCACTGTACCATCAGCTTTGTACTCTACAACTGCAGTATCATCCTGATAGTTGCTTACGGCGTTCATATTGACGCCGCATCGTTGGGCACATTCACAGCCCTCACACGAATTGTTATTTGCATTCGTACTTTTAATATTATTTGTAACGACCTCTGTCTTACTCATATCTAGAGGTTCATTGTCTATTGGTGTAAAATCGCATTCTTCATCAATAGTCTTAGTTATTTGTGCACAAACACATTTCTCGCCTTTCTCCTTCATAATACATCCCCCTATCATGAGTTTGCAATGAGCTACATAGTCATTGTCAGTTGTTGTATCTAAATAATTATTGTCAACACTGTTATCAAAAATATTGGCTGGTACTTCTTTAGTTACTTCATCTTTTACGTTTTGTATACAATTGAATGTGTGTTCTTCATACTGAGCCGTAGCTATAAGTTGGCCACAAGATGGACATGTTGTGGAATCTGAAATTCGATATAGAAAATCCCTTTATGTGTTGTTATGGACACAGGAAACATACTTATTAAGTGCTTCAAAGTATAAACAAAGATACGAGGTACTCTTGCAGTACTATACTATAAATTGTCTGAACCATAACATAACATCGCGCCTTTTATCCTCGAAGGGGTAGGCAGAAGTGCACATTAAGCCACTGTACAATGTAACACCTACTTTTTACTACTTATTTATGTTATGAGGCCCATGTAATAGGGGGTGAACCTATTGCCATATACCGGGCACAATTCCAGACTCCGTGCTACTTCTGAGAATTTATTAAAAACCCAGTAATACTTTGCCCGACCCGGGAATCGAACCCGAGACCCCTTGCCCGGTCGCACCTGCGACCACTCGGCCAATGAGGCGGTCTGAACCGACTGTATAAAAAACGACTGCGATATTACCAGACAAATAAAAACTGAGAGGCTAGATTAAAAAAGTAATGCTTCATTAGAACAATATCACGCACTTACCATTCTCGTTTTTCAACTTTGCCATACATGAGAAATCACAGGCCGAGTTGGAATCCGATGATATCCCGCTGTCTTGTTTGAAATCTAAAACAATACATCAATTCTTAGGGATATATTTACAACTGTGATGTCACTAAACGGTTAAAAATCAACCCCGCAACTAAAAACAATCGCAAATCGCAGATTAAAAAGAAAAAGCTTTCGCCTCATTGGTTGAGTGGTCGCAAATGCAGCTGCCGAATAAAGCTTGTCGGGTTCGACTACTACGTTGAGCAAAGTGCGATTGAATTATTTAAAGTATTTGAAAATTCTCATAGTAGCACGCAGATTAGATTAGAATTGTGCCCGATTTATGGCAATAAAGTAAGGTTACATGACGTCATCACATAACGTAACTAGTGCAAAATGGGTGTTACATTTAATATGTGCAATGTGCAGCTCTGCCTACCCCTTTCAAAGAATAAAAGGCCTCATGTTACATTACATGAGATTTCGCAATATAGGAAGCATGTAACAACAGCCGCTCGCGTGATCACAAGATCAATAAAGCAACCAATTAGAGTGATTTTTTATTAAAACGATGACATCATCCAATAGGTTCTCAAATAAAAACAGGAGTGCGGTATGCTTAACTGACGTACTTGTATGATCAGATACAAGAATATAATGAAAGCTAAAGAATTATATAAGGATCGTAGTTAGCGCTTTATAGTTTCTTACTACAGTACTGGTACAAACGCGTGGGTTTGTTTATTATGTTATGTGCAAACAAACAATGGGCCTTTCAAGATGCCCAAGTAGTATTCAGTAGCTATTGTCAGCCAGCGGGAAGCGAAGAACTGAAGTTGGCTCTCAATGTCGTGCTACTTGAGTCTACGTTTTATTTAAGAAGTCGTAAAACAATTATACAATGTTTACTTACGATATTTAGCCAAATGCCTCTTCTTAGCGTATTCCGTGGAGAATTTCTTCCCACAATTATCGAAGGAGCAATGCAGTGAGGAGTCAGCGGTGTGAGTCTTCATGTGTGTCTTCAAATGATGGGATTGTATGAAACCTGAAGTATTGAAATTATAACGTTATAATAACATTGATAACATCATAAACTTCAAAAAGCCTAAGCTACAGTTGAGAGTTAAATTTATTCTATTATTGTGTAATGTTTTTCAATAGTTACGTACAGATACTGGACTAAGGAGGATTAATAAAAATCTATTGATACATTGCTGGTCACTCGGCTACAATAAATTCAGAAACTACTGAACAGATTTTCACGCAATCACGCAATGGGAGTTTTTGAGTAATCAAGCGGTCACCGGTGACCGCTCTCCACTAACTACATTATACAAATATACAATATAATGTAATTAGTGGAGTTAAACATTGGAAATATAATCTATACCTTATTTCCAATGTTTAAAGACTACTTTTGTATGAACAAATTTAGGGGATGATTTTCAACGGGTTAAGATTGAAACGCTATCTTAATAAAATTCATGTCTTATTAGTTTGAGTGCTGCTGATGAAGTTGCAAGAGAACAGCTAAAAACAAAGCAATAAATAAAATACACTTACCCTTATTACAAATTTTACAAAAATGCTGTTTAGTGTTCGTATGTGTCATCTCATGATGTTTCAGGTGATGTGCGAAGTTGAACTTTTTTGTGCATCCGGTGAAGCTGCACTGGTACCGTCTCTCCGACTGTGACTTGTGGGTCTTCATGTGAGTCTTAAGAGCTGGTTCACTGCTGAACACCGCTGCACACTTCGCACATGTATATGTCCCTGGAATAATTAATGCAAATGGTTCAATTTAAATCAAGTTAATAATTTATTGAGAATATTGCATTTTTAAAAGTTGTCTTTTATTGTAGATTTTTATAGGTACTTATTATCGGAACCCCTTTTCCATTGCATTCCTATGGGTGTCACATTATAATATGCATTTTTGTAAAAGGTACCTCTTTAGAAATTTAAACATATGAGGGAATTTTTAATACCTTAAAAAGCCCCAAAACTACTCTGACCTCTTGGTTCGGAATAGAATCATAGGGATTCCTTTCTTGTCAGTCGCAGTAAAAAATAAGATTATAATAATCAGCTAATCAGCAAGATTATAATAAATACATAATTATATATTACCTCCATGAGCATACTTGATATGTCTTTTAAGAAGTATATTGTCCCTGAACTCTCTGCTGCACTCCGTACACTGCACGGTGCCGGTCCTCTCATGCTGTTTCTCATGGCGACGGAGAGCAGATCTACAATAAACACATTATAAATATTTTACAGTAAATCAAAACAATACAAACATCACAACTTTTATGTCATATATAATGTGTATGATGCAATCACCTATTTCTACATAAGTTTTCCTTAAATAGGTATTTGTTTAGATACTATGAATTAATGAACTTTACTCCTAGTATTAGTATAGCCTATTTTGGATTACGTGGACTCAACAGATATTAACTTGCAAGTCAGTACAAGATAATATAATGACTCATAAAAGTTATAGATAACACACCGATAAATGTATTGATTTAATACAAATTGTTAACCAAACTGACCAAAATGTGTTCATACTTACATAAAACTAAAGTTTTTACTGCAAATTTTGCACTGAAATTGAGGACTATGGCTTTGCTCGTGCCTTCTCCTCTCGCTATCGTATTTGAAGCTTTTCGAACAGTGCCGACATTTCAATATTATTGTCTTATCAGGCATTTTAAAATCAAAATCCACTTGACGGAATTACGATGATAGTGCTAATAGCACTCATTTACAGCGAGTTGCTGCGTTATAGATTTTGTACGCAGTTTTCTAAAAACGATACGTGTACAGTTAACTAAGCTTTTAATCAAATAGGTGTCTACGAAAATATCAGCAAAAAAATGTAATAAGAAGTACAGTGCGAAATCAAAACACTCACAAATGACAGCAATGTGTCACATTTTTAAGCGAGCGCTGCGAAATGTCAAGTGCCGTAATCCTAATCAGCTGATAATCTTCGTTCGGAAATATAACTAGGTAGAATCCTAAAGTTCATTAGATTTTATTACGAAAGATATAGTCTTTATTGTGAATATTATTCAATAGAATACTATGTTCCTTTATTATCTTTACTATAAGAAAGTACATTATGTAATTGAATTATGTCTTCAAGAATTCCATGACGATTCGTGTAATGATGACGTTAAACGAAACGCTAATTGACATTCATGACGGTGTTGTGACGTTTGCGTTGTTGTGATCGTGACATAACCTATAACCAGCTGCACTGCTACCTCAACTTTTCTTGCCGTCATGTGATTGTCCCAAAATAAAACGAATGTAACAAAAAATCGTTGAATCTTACAACGAATATAAAAGTTCATTCACAAACACGTAACAGAAAAATTCATTAAACAAATATAATCTTATGTAACATCAGACTGAAGGATACTGTAACGTACAATATTTGCACAGAAGTTTAAACAGAAAGAGTGAGTTTCGGCTAAACGTAGATTTGGCGCGAAAGGCTGATGTTAGAACGACCGTCATTGAGAAATGCAGGGAGCGAGAGCGAGGCGAGCGCGGCGCCGCCTCATCAGTCTCTACGCGGCACGTGAACACACTGCACGGTCGCTCACGGCGGTCAAGGGCAAACTTACGCGAGCACATTTTCCCACAATTATTACATAAATTTGTGTCATAAGATGTTGCCGTGGGTTCAAGTTACTCTTATGTTATGTGCTGTCGGCCTGCTTCGAGAGATTCGACCGTCAGAGCCCTTCGTTTCCGAGTTCCTATTGGGAGAGTGGAGAAACATAACTGAAGAACAACTGAACAGAGATGTATACCCTGTGGGGACATACTGCTACCTGGGGCTGCTTGTTGTGGTCTTCCTCATCACCGATTTCTTGAGATTCAAGCCAGTCATTGTATTGTCTGGTAAGTTTACCTTTTGACTGCTTTACTTACATTGTGCATTGCATGAGTTTGTTTAGGTGTCAATGACCTACATTAACAGCTATTTTTTACTTATACTAAGTTACCTAAAGTGAGTCAAACTTATAAATCATAGTTTTGATAACATTTTAAACCAGTGTAAGAAGTTGCTGTCCTTAATTACATTAGATAACTAGATACACAAGTAGATCGTAGATAGTGTATGAAATTAAAAATTAAAATATCTACTAAAGAACTGAACAGTGTAGGTACTTAAGAATAATATTTGTAATCAATGCAATTTATGAAAGAATCCTTATCTAAATGAGTGGAATCCATAATAATTGTGTACAGTTAACTCATTCATGATTTAACCATGTAATCTTATATTATATGAATTTAATGCTCCTTGCATTAAAACTCGATAACTTATTGTCAAGTTTAAAAGCTTGACATCAATATTTTCTGCTTAATTATTCGTTTTTATGAGTAGATACTTCATAATAAACATTCGGAAAACTCTACAGATTCAAAAAACATAATAATATGACTTTTACTAATCAGATAAATTAAAATTATGTTATTAGCTGATTAAGCAAATAAGTAACATACAAAATAATATTATTTAAAAAAAAATATCCCATTTGACCAATTGTGTGTAAGAATTTTGTAACTAACTGTATGCTCTATCATCAAGGAGGAAGTATTAACCGAATTATGTACAAATATAGCAAGAAAAAAAATGTGTTTATCTATACTAATTAATGCAGTAGCATAGTAGGGAAAAAGTATTTTTCCTCACTTTTTGCTTCATTGCAAACATAGAAGTGTTGTTTGACATATTTAAGCGGCAGAAACCAGGTCGCTTGTGCGGTAAAAAGTATCTGTAGCAGATAAATATTTTTATAATGCTAAAATCAGCAGCAGGTTACTTTTTAGCATTTCTAAGCAGTTTGAAGTTCTATTTACTTTTTTTGTATTTCTAAAGATTCTTTTCAAAATCCACAAACGGATAATTAAAGTCATTACTTAGATTAGAAGTATTTATTATTTTACACTGCATCACAAATAGTCTAGCACTAAGACAGACAATAAATAAAAAAAAACACAGACACCAGAACAGAGAAAAGAATAGCGAACATAAGCCAAACATTTGCACATATTTCTTTATCCAGAAGCAAATAAAAAAACTGTAGAAAATAAAGAGCTTTGCTTGAAATGTGTATGTTTGAGTTAGTTCAATATTGACTCAATGATACAAGATAATTATCGAATGCAAGAGGGATCAAAGTTATCAGTCTTTAACTGATTACTCAACTCCATGGTTGTTATAATATACTATATCTTTATTGACCTGTTGTAGCCAAGTCCAATTGAAACTTTTTGCAATAGTATATGTATGTATGTATGTATATATATATATACATACTATGTATGTACAGAGGTATTTTAACAAATTATATTTAAACTTTCGTGAGTCATACCAAATTAATTATTATGTTTTCGCCTTACTAACTTAATTATTTGACAAGGAACTCCACTGGTTTCAAGTCATGCTAGAGGCTTATAATAATGAATTTAGCCAATCAAGCCAAAAATTTCTTCTTTGGCAACTGAAAACTTTAATCAATGTTAATTTACGAATGTATCCTCATTTTTGTTGTAATTATAAACATAAAGTCACGCCTTTTATCTCTTGAAAATGCGCAGAAACAACGATTCTTAAGCCATTCTTCAACTTCCATAAAATTCTTGCACCTGGTCTCATACAAGCACGTCAATTAAGAATTAGTCTCTTTGTAAGGGGCGTGTGTTTTTCCAAACATAGTTTCCGTCAATTAATAGCGTTACTAGTAGGGGAGCCCACGATGCTAAATTTGGATTTACTTGAGCGTTGTTGGGACCTACTGGATTTTGAAGATATGCTGATAGAAAGAAGAAATGGTTTAGTGACAATTTCTTCCACCGGTGGGGGAAGGGGGAATCCACAGATCTTTGAAATTGTTAAGCGTAACTTTTGTTCTAGTGATCGAGCGTGTCAGATATTGATAGTGTACATGCTCCATATGTATTTAATAATAAAAACTCTTAATCTGCCAGTTTGCATGGTGGGGTTGAATGTTCTGGAGAGTACAAACGAGAACCCTTCAAAATCCCTCCACTCTTGCAAATCAAGTTGGAATGGGCAGATTTTTTAAACGCACTTCCTTTAGCATGGTATTGACCTACCTTTCCTTAATCTGACGAAACTGGCTTTATTTAGTCAGACTTTTTTTTAATTTTTAGTCCCCCCCTTCTAATCAGATCGGATATATGGTGGGTATATTCTACATGACACTAGGTTGTCCCCATCTGTTAATCTGACGCGCTCGAGTAACAACCGAAATACCTTCATGAGCTCCCCTACTCCCTTTTGGGAGGTTGTGGCGGGCTTATCCCTCTAAAAAAAAAATATACTGAGAATTCGGAAAATCCAATCACAAACAATACCTCTACACTTGGTAGGTACTTATTTCATCGACAGAACACTTAACAGTTGTATTATAAGTGATTATGATATTAGGTACTATCACAATCTCTTATTGCGGTTTATTAATGACAGCCTTGCTGGTCGAGGGATCGCAAGTGCAGCAGTCAGTCTCATGCTCGAAGCCTGGGTAGGAAAAAGTGTAGACTGAAGTTTTTGAATTTCGAAAATTCTCAACAGTAACTACGTACTACGTATTATGTACACCTCTGCCTACCCCTTGGGGGAAACAAAAACCCGTTTATGTTTATTACAAATTTCAATAACTGCAGAGTTATGTCAAAGGAGTCAAAACACGACCTATCTTAACTCGCTATCAGTTGCCCTTCCCTTGACCGTACACAAATATCGATCTCTAAAATTAGGTGTATTTTGTAAACAATTCATCGTACTGATACCTACTTGATGTGTAAAAAGCACTAAATCAAAAGTTTTCATTCTGATAATTTATAATGCATTTAATTTAATAAACATGGCTTTTATCGATACTCTATCAGCAGTTGTCTTTGCGTGCTCTCTCATAAATTACGGCCTGAGACATTGACCTGACATTCAGTAGCTAATAAAACATTATTTCACTAAGGGCTATATTTCATTACGACAGTATGGTCGTACGACCAGTGCAGTCAATCCCAGGGAGTTTATAGAGAGACACCAAAACACTGGTTAATTTGGTCATGAACAACAATGTTTGTTCAGTTGGTGGCGCATCTAAACAAACAACAGATGAGATACCTTCTAAATAACTTATTCAATTAGATGCTTGCGCGACCTAATGAAATAAGGTTCTTAACATTGTAAAAAAAAACGATGGAAGACTATAAAGCGACGTCATCACCATTAAAAAGCAAGTGGACTGTACCTACGAATGTGACAACTATAAATAATAACTATTAAGTATTGTGATTTACTATACAGTGTTTCAAATCATGAGACTAGCCACGTGTTTTAAGGAGCAACACGTAATACAAAAGGTGCCAAAAAACGTAACGAAAGAATATTTTATGCAACCTACACACTTTTACAGCTAATACAACTGCTGCAAGTTTGCAACTGTTTGAAATCTTATATATACTTACTATTATATAAAGCGGAAGAGTTTTTTTTGTTTGTTTGTTTGAACGCGCTAATCTCCGTGACTACAAGTCTGATTTGAATAATTATTTTTGTGTTGGATAGCGCATTTATCGAGAATGGCTATTTGCTATAAAACATCACGCTACCACCAATAGGAGCTGAGCAGAGCGTGTGAAACCGCGCGGAAGTAGCTAGTCTATAAATATTCGTCTAGTAAACATTAGTTAAAAGATGTGAATGTTTTTGAGGTTGAAATACTACAGAAATCTATCACTAAAATGTGTCAATGGAGTTGCTAAGAAATTCTTAGTCAATGTCATCGCCGTAGGCCCAAAAAGTGTTCTCATTTTTATCCTCAAACTCGCCACTATTATGTAAAAGTTAAAACTCAAAACTACTATGAGATAACAACTACCTATTTGTACCCAATCTACGTCAGTAATTAAAATGCGATTTATAGTGTCAGGTTCACACTTAATCTATCTTACCTACATCCGAAAACAAAACAGTTTCCTTTGCTTTATCTTAATTACTCAATAAAAAAGTTATCATTACTGCATGCGGATTTGGTGATACCTAGGTAGATTTATCTATAAGCTGAAACAACAATAATGATATAAAATGTCTAGACGAAAGACTTGAGATCTCTGATAATTGTGGACAATTTATTCATAAAAAATCAAGACACAGCAACCAATCTAATTGATCAGAATAGTCGGTTAATATACTTTAATTTATCAATGTGCAAGTTGTAGCACGTGTTCATACCGGGTCTCCGAATGATGTATCACTAGAACAGAATCTTTGATTCTTATGAATAAAACGCTTCTTTATTTGACTTTGACCCTGAAAAAGTAATTATCTTAACCTATCAATTATAAAAACTAAAAAACACAGTACCTTTTAAGGAGGAGGTACATTCTTCTACCAACACGCTATTCTTTCCATGTTACCTGAGCGTACGGCGCGTCGCGTTCCGAGCGCGCCTCAAAGAGCCATCAGACCACCACAGATGGGGCCCAATAGGGCCGATGCCGATTCGGAGTCGCGGAGAACCTAACGGGTAACCGGGCCTCTGGCTCGACGTACAGGAGAAGGAACGGGGTGGTTTTTAGTCAGTAAGAGTCTGACACTCCCTCCCGCCTCACCCAGGTGGGAGCAGTCATTCGATGATTTTCCCCCCTTAAAAAAAAATTATTTCCATGTTTTATTTATTTCTGAGAGGTACATCCAAAGGTTGTCTGTAGGTGGTCACTGGTCGCCATTGAGTGATAAGATCAACATTTAATTTTTTGTACTACGTTAGTTATGTACTTATTTCATTCTAATGTAACCAAAAACCCTTGAATTAATAGGTCGTCGTTAAGGACAAATTGATACAGTCATTTGCGATCTTCTATATCCTCCCTCAGCTTCACCTAAACCACGGAGTTCTTTTCAAATGAAGTGTGTTAGCCAATACTTTCGTCCTGTATTGCAAATGAGAGTAACAATGAAACAAAGATAGTGGACATACTTTAAATACTTATCTGCCAATTCTGTCCAGAATAAACAGACATGTTTATGAAACAACCGATTTCTTCCATCCATCCCCATTTACACAAGCACACTCTGTAACCAGTCTTCTTCTATAGGCTAAAACATCATCAGCCTATTTTACTTCTTACAGGTCTGAGTGGTATAGCAGTATACGCCATCTTGCTGTGGACAACGAGTCTAGAATGGCTGCAGGCGTCCCAGTTCTTCTATGGTCTCTACATGGCCACGGAAGTCGCCTACTACACTTATATCTACGCAAAGGTAAGCTATTTATAGACATTCGGACGCAGTGATGTACGTCACTGGCTCAAAGAAAAAAACAAATGCTTTCCTAAGATGGTGGTCGCTACTGCGACTGACGCGCAAGGCCATTGAACAGCGAAAGAGCGAAATTTTCAGTTCGGACAAAATGTAGTTTCGATTTTCTGATTGTACTTCAACCCTTACAATGATTTTTTATAGCATAAACCGATAAACGAGCAGACGTATCACCTGATGGTAAGCAATTGGCGCCGCCCATGGACACTCGAAACACTAAGGCGTTGCAAGTGCTTTACCGGCCTTTTGGGCATTGGGTATTTGAGGATTGTAGAGGATTCGGGGATTCGGGAGACGGGGACTAGGGAGGGGGGTAATTGGGCCTCCGGTAACCTCACACGACGAAACACAACGCAAGCGTTGTTTCACGTCGGTTTTCTGTGAGGCTGTGGTATCACTCCGGTCGAGCCGGCCCGTGCCGAAGCATGACTCTCCCACACTTAACATAATACCATGTAGGTCCCCGTTAGACTGAATGACAGAACATGTGATTACTTCTCATGTCGTCTATTGGTAGTATTCTAAAACTGTGACTGCGCTCTCTGAAGGCGTGCCATAAATGTCCACCTGCACTGACATTTGCTTTAGAATATATAACTAGTGCTATGCAACTGTGTCAAACTGGAATATCCACTGTTAGATGGGAGTTGACAGACGAAAATAAATATACTACGTCCAATGCTATTATTCATGTACTTATTTTTAAAAATAGCGCTTTAACATATTTTTTAGAAATTCTAATGTTCCATTCTCTTACGATATTACCTACTGAAAACACTACCCTACAGTTTCTAAGAGATATGCTTGCTTAACTTCAGCTTTCTTTAACCAGTATGTGGCTAGATCGAATGATGATTAAATAGGATACTTAATAACCATCTGATTAAAGGAACAAACGTTTTTAATTTTAGGCTAGCTAATCAATAATGATCGCGAACAAGTGTCTCCTCCGGAAATGTAAAACGTGACGAGACGTAATCTCATTTTCAACAAAAATGAACTAATCAGACCAACAATCTTAATTCTTATCTTTATCAAATTTCTTAATACCGGAGACGGCACGAAACGTATCGCTTAATTATGCATAATTATCCTTTAAGTATTTACAATGTGTACCTACGTTATGACTATCTGTCTCGCTAGTCTGGCGGAAAACGTTTTATTTGGAAATTCCCTACACTAAACAAGATAAACATGTGTCTCATGGGTAGATGTCACATAGGACTTAAGTTATACAACTGGAGAAGTATACCTATTACCCAATAACTACACTTTTCTCTCGTAGAACTAAAGTGCACTTATTGCCTGAAATGCTGAAGCGAATGCTATAGAGGGAGTCAGACAAGACTACCTTATGTAACCCGACACATGCGTACTGCCTTCAGAACGGGTCCGCTCAAACTGTTGTGGTTCTTTCCTCAAAAGACCACTACACAAAAACTTGCACTATCTCACACATAAACTTTTATACACATTTGTCTGGACTTTAAAAGAGACGGACCTCTGAGTTTGTTTCGGTATTTCTTCTTAGAGTACTCAGTTAAGAAATGTCGATCTCATCGTTCGCTTGATAAAATTGACGTGTAGAAGTGCTGCCTTGTAACCTATTTGCAGAAATAAATCCACTTGTTTCACTTACAGAAATTCTAAAAATGGAAAACCCAATAATGTCTACATTTTACGAAAATAAAATTTTAGGATTTTTTCTGCAGTAAGGATGCCTACTGCTTAGACATCAGCCTATTACATACGTCATTGTAGTAGGTACATGATAAGTTTATTATTTACACTTCTCAATCTACATTCAAGGTGGACCCAGCGAAGTACCCTCGCGTATCCTCATACACCCGTATTGCAGCGCTGTCAGGCCGGTTCCTGTCTGGCGTCAGCTCACAACTGCTCACACACTTCGGAGTCATGGACTACAGGGATCTCAATTACATCACCTTCACAGGTATAACGCTTTCCTTTGACCTTTTTACATGCTAATTTGGACTTTGTGTACTTAAGTGCAAGAATAGTAATAGCTTAATCATATTATGCTCTACGTACAGAATGCCATCTTCATTCAAACTTTGATATTAATGATTGTTGTACATCAGAAGAACCTAACTAAAAATCGCGGCTTACTCACGTTTCGAACCACAGAGGGGTTCTTCCTCTCATGAGCAGCGTGAGCGGTCGCGGCGATGTCTCACGATAGTTATTATAAAAACATCAGAAGAACCTTTTTTTAAATGTTACATATTAATTGTCCACGGACTCTTGGTCCGTGCCCTTGTCCGTGTCATACAGGTAATCAGAAGAACCTAAAGTCAACTAATGAATGGTTGATCTACTCCAATATCTTGTAACCACTTCTAAGTACCAAATCTCCAATTGCAAACCTGAGATTAGCAGGGCAATTCAAATTTTCAATTTCCAAATTCCATACAGATCATCTCGAACAGAACTCATTTAGCAAGTGAGATTTTCTAATGCAATGTGATTCATATTTTCAACCAGCAAAAAAGTATCTACACCGTTTTTCTACCATCTATAGTGAATGTAACACCGTAATGTCTTAGCTCAGATCATGGCGACATTCTGGGCGATGTGGCTACCCACCGTCCAGTACGGCATCTATTTCCATCGGAAGACATCAACCGGAAACCCTCCGCTAGACAAAGATCTACATCCACCTAATGGGGTGAGTATTTTTTTTTTTCACCCTTGCGCCTCTATAGGATTTCCTCCTGTGTCGTGGGTGCGTTTACAAACGTACAAGTTCACATTCATATGACACCCAGACCCGGAACAACAATCTGTGGATCATACAAAGAGTTGTTCCTTGCGGGAATCGAACCCGCGACGCGTTGCGCGGCAGCCAGTTGCCCAGCCACCGCGCCAAGCGTGCAGTCAAAAAATGATATTATGTACTTGCTTTATTGTTCAACAAAACAAGATCTTTAGGTCTACTACAATAATAATATTATGTAATTCTCTCAGTTTCTCTTCCTAATTGCAATCGTATAATGTACATTACATAATAGGCTCACCCCCTATTACATGGGACTCATAACATAACTGCCTCATTGGCCGAGTGGTCGCAAGTGCAACTGCCGGGCAAAGAGTCTCGGGTTTGATTCCCGGGTCGGGCAAAGTATTACTGGGTTTCTAAAAACATCAGTAGTAGCACGGAGTCTGGAAATGTGCCCGGTTATGGCAACAGGCTCACCCCCTATTACATGGGACTTATAACATAAATAGTGAAGAGTCGGTGTTACACTTTACAGTGGCATTAAGTGCCGTAATGTGCACCTCTGCCTGCCCCTTCGGGGGTAAAAGGCGTTATTTTATATTATGTTATAATCATCTCAAAATCCTTACTTCCTTACTAATATTATAAATCGGAAAGTGAGTTTGTTTGTTTGTTCCGACTTCACGCCGTAACTACTAAACCGATTGCATTGAATTTTTGCAGACGTAAAGTTAGTAGTCTGGATTAAATAATAGGGTACTTTTTATCCCGAAAAAATTTAATATTCCCGAGGGAAAACAATAGTATTGGTATAGATGGCGCTGTATGTATTCGTATATGTCACATAGGCTACTTTTTATCCTTTTGTGACGCGAGCGAAGCCGCGGGTAAAAGCTAGTTATATCTAAAACATTATATTTATTTTAATTCCAGCACCTACTCCGTTCCAACGTGGTAGAAGCATCGACTTTGATCGCTCGACACGCGCGCTCAGCGTACACCAGACCCAAAGTGCTAGCGTGGTCGGCATTGTATGCAGTGGCACTCGCACTGTTCGTCCAAGCTCAGATCTATATGCAGTTGCTATGGAAACAGATACAAGAGGACACTGATTCCCCGGTGAGTTACAATTACAAGTTCTTGTTATGCTGAGATGAGATAAAATAAGCCAAGTTAAAGATAAAGATATTTTATTTCGCAAATATAGGTACATGTCATGGTAGTGCATAATAAAGATACAGAAACAGCCATATTTTGTCAATTATAAGGTATGCAAAAGTTTTACAATTCAAGACAATAATTAAAAAAAAAATAATTAGATATTATTCTTAACTGATTTGTATTATCAAATGTATGAATGGAAGATACGAAATACTAGTAAATGGCTCTTTGTAGATTCTATCTACCACCATGGGACAAAGGTATGAGTTTATATGTATGTAACTACGTACATAGACTCATACCATAGATTAGACAAGATATTTAGATGAAGAAAAGTCCTAGGTTCTATTGACTGTTTCGACTAGGGTTGCCACCCGTACTTTATAATAAAGTATTGTACGTTATTTAAGGTAATTGTACTCTATACTTTATAAGAATAATAAAGTACACGAAAATACTTTATTTTTGCAAAATTCGATATCGATATTTATCGACTTATGTTGAATCGATTTCGCCACTCCCCAGCGCCACTTAGATAATTTCTAGTAAAGATGCAATTGTTTAGTATTTCATTTTCAATGCAATTGTTTAGAGATACTAATTTTATACAAACTGAAAAAAGCAATAAAAAGTATATTTTTAAATATAATACTAAATAAGAATAAATTGTACTTTATGTTTGTACTGTGTACTTTTTTTTCTCACCTATAATCGTCAATGTACTTTAAATACCAAAATAAAACGTGGCAACCCTAGTTTCGAACCGCGTGCTAGTTATAACGCACCGAAATGTAATACGTATGAATACTAGTTAAGCTATGTTTTATTCCAGGTGATTCTATTTCATAAAGATCCGTTCGATGTCGTTTCGAAAAGTTGGCAAAATTTAAATAAAAATAATTTTTTTGGTCGTATCTTAAACAAAAGGAGAAAGCTGTTATCATTTATCATTAGTAGGTACTAGGTACGTAGGTAAGTACCTACGTCAATAAATATCCTGCATCGATAATGGCTCTAGCTCATTGCCAAGTGGTAATTATGACATTAATTCCATAATTGACTTGATTCTCATTGATATGATATTGAACTCACACCTTTCCTTCGCATGATAGAAAATAGAGCTACGTACTATACTCATCATTATACATAGATAGACTTACTTGACTTTTATCACATTCATATATTTTTATTTCAAGCCACACAGGGCCTCATATTCATAAACTACCGCCGCACGTGCTCAAGAATATGAGTACTTAATCAAAAATTAAAATGTCACATTATCCGGGTTGCTTTTTTTGAAAATCATTTATTTCAATTAGACCAGGAAGTCACTTTTGAACCAACCAGTAGCGACAGTATGATCCAAGGTACCGGTGGTTACGGCTCCAGGGAAAGAAATCTCCTCACAATGCGCGCGGTTTCAAGTAGAACTGCCTTCTGTATCAAGCCATAGACCCATCCGCCTATCGCCAGCCTCCTAATATAAATACCGAGGCTTTTAGATGATTAACCCATTGGCCGAAACCACTATCGGCACAATGATAATCGAATCCACACTCCACATGTCGACAACCTCGTTATCCAAGTCTAGATATTTTATTTGCTTATCTTACTCAGCTTTCACGGGGTTACATTACTTATTATTATTATTTTTATGATCCATTTTCCACAGTTGTTACTTTAAATTATATAACATACATAAACATAACATCACGCCTTTTATCCCCGAAGGTGTAGGCAGAGGTGTACATTATGCCACTGTACAATGTAACACCCAATTTTCACTATTTATGTTATGAGTCCCATGTAATCTGGAATTGTGCCCGGTATATGGCAATAGGCTCACTATTGCCATATACCGGGCACAATTCCACTTTACTCCTCTCTCCGTGCTACTCTACTTTACTCTGAGATAACTTTAAACTTAAACTATTATTATTATTATTCTTACAATCTAACAATCTTCTCCGCTCTTTCCCAACCAGTGCGCACATCCGCCACACCTGTTATCGTAAAATTATTTGGGACATGTACACTAGTTGAACAAGCTTATCAAGCGAGTAGGTATAAACAATATGATAATAGGCGTAATTATAAACAATCACTATGTTCTATCTAATCTCAAATATCTTGTGACATAAGCTTGCGTTATTAACGTCCTTGCCGTAAGTGCATTTTATGAAATCAAATCAAGTTATTTTGATAAGGAGAGAAACGATCTGTCTAAATAACGATGTCTCATTGTATTGACGGCAAGTGTAGTCAAGGTTGGCGCGAAAATTATGCGTATTGGCTGTATGTATGTTAATTTTTTTCGGTCGTTCTCAATAACCAAATGAAATACACGATCGGGTACTTTCCATAATCAAAAATAAATTATTTTGACTGTTCAATATAATAAAATATAGAAAAATAAACACACTTTCATTATTTGATTTTTTGATTAACTAAATTTTAGTATTTTTCCAGCGAATTTTTAGGAAATAGAACACATTCACATCTAATACACAATCTCGTACAAAATTCATAGAAAACTGTCGTTTTTGACGGTTCGAAAAAAAGTATTGAATTTGACTAGTTGGTAAGTACCCAATTTGCTGGTTTCAGTTACTATAGACAAAATTTTGGACCATTTTATTATTGGGGCTTATCAGTTTACCTTATACCAAGATTCTCTAATAACTAGGTCTATAAACAGATAGTTTGTTGTTGGTCATTAATATGACTAAAATAAAGTATTCTAATTTTATTTACAAATGGTCAGTTTTAACAGCATCTTAAATATTATGAACTTGAAATCTTGAACACCTATGATGGGGGACTAGATAGCACATAACGAAAACCACTCAACGGGTTAAAATAAATTTTCCAAACAAATAGGTCATTTAACTCACATTAATAAGAAAAGCTTATTTAAACCCGATGGCCGAGAGGTCGCAAGTGCGACTACCGGGCAAGGAGGCTCGGGTTCGATTCCCGGGTCGCGCAAAGTATTACTAAGTTTTAAAAAAAATGTCAGTGGTAGCACGGAATCTGGAAATGTGCCCGGTATATGGCAATAGGCTCACCCCCTATTACATGGGACTCATAACATAAATAGTGAAAAGTGGGTGTTACTTCTGTCTGCACCTCTGCCTACCCCTTCGGGGATAAAACGCGTGATGTTATGTTATGTACTTATTTAAACTTTATGCTTGGTTTTTGTTAAAGTTCGTGCTTTATACTGCCTAAATACGGTAGAATAATAACAATACAATATGTATGCATATGAGCTTCTTTTTTTATAATACCACTTCAGTATCATATTGTAATTTACTTTTTGCCATTTATGACTAAGCAGGGGTTGAAAAACGCAATATGACTGATATTATCGTGGGTTTGATACCCATAAAACTCTTCATAGTAACATATCTTTATGGTGTGTGTAGGACGAGGTACTTTAAACTGTAAATAATTATCTAGGTACTCTAAACAAAAGCAAGAGAAGCTACCATAAAGTGTTAAAATTATTTATTAGATTTACGTCTTTATTGCTAAGTGATAAGATTGAAAACTGTACTTTATGGTGATAGTGAGATTATAAGAAAAGTTATATGAACTTTTTGGTCATTATTTTATAATTACAAAGGACTGTAAAACTTAACTAATAAATTGACTTAACTTTTTGAATTCCAGATAAATTTAAATCTATAACATAACAACATAACATCACGCCATTTATCCCCGAAGGGGTAGTCAGAGTTGCACACAGAAATACCACCCACTTTTCACTATATATGTTATGAGTCCCATGTAATAGGGGGTGAGCCTATTGCCATATACCGGGCACAATTCCAGACTCCGTGCTACTACTGAGATTTTTTAAACCCAGTAATACTTTGCCCGATCCGGAAATCGAACGCGAGACCCCTTGCCGCGACCACTTGGCTAACGAGGCAGTCAGTTTAAATCTATATGTTTGCGAAAATTTATCTAAATCCGTTGAGTAGTTGCTATCTCTTCCTTCACCACGTACCTGTATTTTGACGTTCATAATATTGACAGCGCAATTCTACATATGTCTACATAAATATTGTATATTATGTCTGTGTACTATGAATAAACATGGATATAGACACGTTATAAAATAAACGAAGGATTAACTTTAATATGGCTTTGTGTTAGTGCTATTTACGTTGTTTATCTGTATCTTGTCTCCGTATTATGACAGTTTAAGTTTATGTACTTTAACTAATTTACTCGGCTATATTTATCTTTATCTCAGATAATCTCGAGTAGGTATGTTATGTTAGTGCAAATTTCAAAATTGTAGGTATTAGTGAGTGAGTAATGTCGGTCTGGTTTTGAGTGTGAGATGTATTCGACCTTTGTACCCTTTTATAGACTTTGTATTGTGATAAAAAAATATATGATAAACGTTGCCCCATATTAGGATTTTCTCCTGTGTCGTGATAGCTTTTACAAACACACAATTTCACATACACAACACCCAGACCCGAAACAATCATTTGTGGATCACACAAAGAGTTGCTCCGTGCAGGATTCGAACCCGCTACCAGTTGCAAGGCAGCCAGTTGCCCAAACACCAACCGTGCAGTCAAATTGCAACTATTGCAATATTGCTATAATTATGCATAATATGTATATTAAATAATTTTACTATTTTCGAGTTTCATGATCCCTTCATAAACATAGGGTCATACCAATTGGCTGGTTAAATACTTAGGAATTAGCTTTTTCTGGCAGTGTAATAGGGATGTTGATAGGGTGGAAATCATTCATTTAGAGAAAACAAAACAGTTATGAATAAGCCTCCTACAAAAATGTAATTGAAAACTATAACATATAAAATCCAGTTTTATTCCATTTCATGGGAATTTCAAGACACACACTTAAGGAACTTACATTCTATTCATGTTTAGCTGTTGCACCTCGGTCACCCGTACCCAATAATGCAGTTTCAACAAAATAGTTATCTAAACTGACTATCTTACTACCAGGTGGCCTACAACGGCGCAGTGGAAGCTGTACAAACGCTCCTGGGCGCGGGAGGTGCATTCATAGCATCAATGTACTCCTCGTCCGGAGTACCAGCGCCCGTGGCGGCCGTGCAAGGAGTCGCAGTCTTCCTAGCCACCTTCGTGAACAACGTGTTCGTTTCCTACGCCGGGTATATCGTGATGGGCATGTTGTTCCATTATACTATCACATTGGCCAGGTAACTATTTTATTTTATGCTCTAAGTACAATAAGCTAACTTGAAAAGGTGGTCTAAAAAATGTAGCTGTAACGATTGTGTAAAAATTACGATATCTTAGCACAAGATCTTTGTTTTGATCCCGGTCGGACATTACACTAATATTACAAACTAGCTTCTGCCCGCGACTTCGTACGCGCAATCCCGTTCTTTCCCGTTCCCGTTCGTGATTTTCGGTAAAAAGTAAAAAAAAAAAATTCGATGAAAAAGTATCCTATGTCCGTCTCCTGGTTCTAATCTACCTCTCCACCAATTGTCATCCAAATCGATGTAGCCGTTCTTGAGTTATAAGTAGTGTAACTAACACAATTTTCTTTTATATATATAGAATAGATGTGAAAGTTTCTTTGTTTAGATGTTTTTCCGTCAATCACGCTGAAACTACTGAACGGATTTGAATTAAATTTTGGTATACAGGCAGGGTATGGGCTGAAACAGGAATCATATTCTACGCTGACGAAGTGGCGGGCAACAGCAAGCTGTAAATAAATAGTACCCAGTTTAATGTAACATGATCGAGCTATAAGTAGGTGTTGAGGAAGCATAGCAGCTCTTACTCTAAGCATACACAACTTTTCGTGTCTAATAATAATATATTTTTCCATTCCAGTGCAAAAATCGCGGGTCAGCTCAGCGACGAGAGCTGCTTCGGTCTCATATTCGGTATCAACACCCTCATTGGTACAGGATTACAGTCCATACTAACTCTGGTCCTCATCCAAAGCCTGAAGCTACCGATAGCTTCCCAGTACTTCGCTATCAGTGGCCTGTACCTTCTACTAGCTTCTATATGGCTCCTCGGCTGGATGATCACCACGTGCCGCCAGAAACGAAGTATTAACGTCGACAACCAGTATTGATACGCAATATAATCATATTGTAAGGATTTATTTACATTAACTTTATTTGTAAAGGCTGTCTAGTCGTCTAGTTATGAAGCGTAACGAGAAGTAATATAACCTTTTTTTAACTTAAACATATCCTGTGGTTTTGTAGTAATTAGGTGTTACATAGAAGTGAAAGAAAACGAATTTTAAATGTGACATAACTACCTCTTTCGGTTTTGTATGTTCTTACGAAGCTCTGGGCTATGGAGTATAGAAGTAAGGAGAATAGTTACTTTATGAAAATATTGCAAAAAGTGCAATAAGCAGAAAAAATCGGTAATGCCTAATGGCGATACCATAATAATTATATGCAAAGGGTGACTTAAAATATTTGATTATGAATTGACTAGATTATAATTTTAATGTTTTTGAGTACTTGTTGGGATTTACGCACTTAAGGTTAAACTAGTCGCGGGCTCGAACTCAATCAAGGGCGTGGCCAAAAAGCGCGCTGTCTCATCTAACATCGTGTGTGACAGAAATAGTACCAGTGATGAGCAGTTAGACGCTATCTATTTGCACGACGTATTGTTCGCACGCACACAAACACAGCAAAACGTCACTGAACGGTGCATATATCTGTGCTGTGTGTGTTTACTCGTAGTAAAGTCGTACGCGTTGCTACGATTTTGTGATGCTCGCATGAATTTTAGTAATTATTGTCACAGGGCATTGTAATTACTGAAATTTTTTTATGATAAGTTGATAACACAATATCCGAAGAATCTACGAATAACGAAAGGCTAGGGATATAATTCTGTAGGTAAGCAGTTACTTTTTTTTCTAAGTACCAATAACTTTTATATGTACCTACTAAACCTAATAGGTACCTACAATATTTGTTGTATTTATTTAGTTTTCGTAAAAGTAGGTAATTACCTAAAAGTATGTTTACTTGCTAAAAATAAAGTAAGAAACGTAATAAAAAGTATAGTTAACAACCCCAATCGAGTTCTCACGGAGCGCGATAGCCACAAAATATAAATGTACCTAGTTAGTTCTATGGTATAACTACATACAAAGCGCGCTCGAGCACGTAGGAACAGTGAAGCAGGTACATACCTACATGAGATTGACTTCTGTACCTATGTATTTTGCGCGAAAACATTCGGCTTGACGGTTGCCCGTTGATATTATCAATATTCCTACTTGTGGTTATCTACAATAATTTATTATAAAGAGCCTAAAGAGGTAAAGTTTGATTTATAATTAGGTAGCATGATCATTTCTTCTGTCTGGGTGTTTTTTATCTAATTATAATAATATGTAAATATTTAGAAATATACCTCTAAGTATGTATATCTGTTGTCTAGTAGGTAGGTACCTACACAGGCTACACATAACACAAGCTCTGCTTAGTTTGGGACTGGACAGCGTTGTGTGATAGTTGTGGAATATTATTATTATATTATTATAACTTAGGTATTATTTAGGAAGGATGGCTAAAAAGCATACCGTACGTAAACGTAGTGTACCTGCTAGTAAAATATCAAATTCGGTGTACCCGAATTGAACATTGACCTGAACAAATAGAAAGACAGACAGACGGAAAAATAAATAGGAAAAATACATAAATAAAAAATGGGTTTAAAAACTATTTACTTATTTGTTTTTTCTGTCTATCTGTCTTTCTGTTTGTTATACGTAGGTACCTATGTCCAAAGGAATAAGTAGTTTTTTTTTACCTACTTATCGTGCAAATAGTCGTGTGAGCATGAAAAATTGTATGTAGGTAAGGTATTTTAATATTTGGTACAAACTGACACTGCAATTTATTTACATTGTTTAGTATAGGTATATCGATTTTACGATTTATAAATAATCTAAGTATCGTACACCTCGCACTATAATACCTACGGACAACTTACGTACCGCGAATAATACCTTAGTACCTACCTACCTAATAAATAGGGTACGATCGTGTCATCGTATAAAGGACATCTTGTGTAGGTATAGACCTACTCCTATCCTACCTATCGACACCACACCACCGCACCGGTCGCAAAGCTCCAGTCGTAAGATAAGCGTAAGGAGAATAATCTACACATACGATACAAACCACGTAGGCCACAGCAGCAGACTAACAGCCAGTTTCAATAACCTATCTATCTGTAGATTTGCTTACTAGAGATAGGATTTTGACATAAGCTCCATACAAAAAGTGTCAACATTCTATCACTAGTAAGCAAATCTGAAGATAGATAGGTTATTGAAATTGGACGTAAGACCGACCGAATCCAAAACAATAGAAAATAAATAGTCTAATGATTGCACGACAGCGCGTGTCGTGCAATAATTTGTGCAAAAACGCGTGAGCGTCTTCCCTCCGCCCCGCGCCGCTGCCGGGGGAATTTTATCTAATGAAATGCACGATAATTCATCGTAAAACGAGTGCGTATAAAAGTACGATTTAGTGCTTTAGGAAATAGCGATTTTTGAAAAAACCACTGCTTAGATCAAATTCAAATAAATTTTATAGAACTCTCTGGTAATTGTGCTGTGTCGGTACGGTCTACGGTTTGGAGATTTTACACGATTAGTGGTACTTTTTAACACCCAAAGTTGCGGTAAAATTGTCATGAAAAACAAAACTTTGGTGGCTCATAACTTTTTAATCGTTTTTTTTTATTTATTTTTGTTTCCGTACCGACAATTGTAATTACAAGATAAAACGTTGTCGTGTTTAATTTTGGAGGTACAAATTCACACTGTGGAGTAATACCACCCCGAACTTTCTATGGAAAAAATATCGACTAGTGTAACCTTAACTGTCATATTCTATTTTAATTTTAACAATTTTATGGTAATTTGACTAAAGAACATAAAAGCTCAAAAAAGGGGTAGTAAATTGAAGAAAACCTTTTACTCTTGCTTCTGGGGAGCATCCTCTGATATAATATATTTTTCAGATATGGAAGTACCTACTCCTATCCTCTATACTCCATGGTCTTGGGCTGGTTTCCCGCGTAAATGTTTGACAGATTTTTTTTAAAGACGATGTTAAAGATGTTAAAGTTCGTTGTCAGCTACGAGGTCTGTGGTTTTTTAATTACCTGCCTGATGAGCTACATACCCAGTGATCTGTCCACACAGGGATAATGGTATGTCCGTTTTAATCTATTACATGTAAGAATATGTGTAGTTGCCACTTGTTCAAACTTAGTGCCTTGGTACCAGTACCTTGTAAGTAGAAGATTCATAAAGGTCCTTCTCCTTATGAATCTTCTACTCATTCCAATGTCACAGGACTTTAATTATTGTTGAAAGTTTTACTACCTTTCTTGTTAATTAACGCAATACCATGAGATAGGTCCACAGATTGAATAATCTGGAATAGGGTAGTTTCCTAAATTTTATTTTAATGTCCGCCTGGTATATTAATTTAAAACATTACACACTTATTTATTTATTTATTCTAAAAAAATTTAAAACTTTCGACGATATATTAATGTCAAATATCGTGTGACTCCTAAACTTAACTTCATTTTAGCTAAATATTGTAACTTTATACGAGAAAATAAAAAAATACGTGTCTAATAATTTTTCATTATCTAAATGACGGACTAATTAGATTATTAATTTTCATGCCCTGGCAACTACCCTATTGTACGAAGTGTTCTGTAATAGTCACTTTTTGTTATTGTGGTTTTATTTATTAATCATTAGAATTCACAAATATTAAAACCATTAACTGTTAAGGGTACTTAAGTAAGGTGTACAGTAGTTGAACTGTATGTACACCTGCATGTAATAGCAGGCGTAGTGTATACACTTCACAAATATGTAGACGCTTGTTGGGTTTATTTGTAATCACATAGATACTAGTTTGATCGATAATTTGTCAATAAGATTATTTATTTTTCAAAAGTTCCAATTGCATGTAGGATAAATAAACTGTGTAATAGAAACATCACATTGAATAGTTTTCAAAATGGCTGTGAAATAAGTTTGCTTAATAATTATTTATTATATGTATTCAATATTTGTAAATAAAATAGCAAATGGACTTAAAACTTTATAAAAACTATCATGAAATGAAATCAATGTCTCTTTATCTGTGTATTCGGGTAAACAGAGCCTATATAGAGCAAATAGTCAAAGAACAATCTTTTTTTTCAACACCAAGTAGCCTATCCAGCTCTTCAAACAAAGGTGTCACTTACTCATACCGGAAACTTGTGCTCTGGAGAACTGAGAACTGGAGAAGTCCATGACCATGAAAACATCTTTCATCCGTTGAGGATGTCTCTGATATCTTCAATAGGTGTTTGAACAGATCATCTTCTGATTTAGGTATAAACTTGAAGATATCGCCACTTGAAACAATCTCATCTCCAGCGTCAGTTTCCCGAAGAATCTGGCTTTCCTCTTCTTTATTACGCGCTCCTTTGCAACGCTAACGGTTACCTTCCATAGTCGGGCTCTTCCTTCCTTGATATTGTATCTATTATTTCTTTTACATTTACTTCCTCTCTCTCTAGATATTGCATTATCATGTTGTTGCCTCTGCCTAGGGGGTAGATCCTCTCACTATAAGATAGTGGAGAACCCGTGCTTGGTTCTGTGTGAAGCAAGGCCCAATGGATACACTGGTCGGACGAGAGGAAGCACACCCCTCTGGTGTCCTTCTTGAGGGCAGCTCGATTGTCCCAATGCTTGAACATGTATTTTATTTCTCAATTTTGCAATGCAGATTCTATAAGACGGTCTCTTCGGAATATAGGCTTCCCCTTTGGGGTGCTATAGCGAGGGTTGGGATGTTCCTCTTCCATTTTAGAGATGGTCGAAGAATAATCCAATATGTTTTATTGTACTTATTTATATTTATAGTATAGCTTTAAATTGAACAAAATTTTATTTAGAATAAAATTTTAGGTCAAATCTACCCTAAATAGGGTTATTAAAATTTGTTGGACATATTAAAGTTACATAAAATACATACATTTTTGGATAACGAAATTATCTGTTGTCTGTTAACCAAACTCGTTTTGTTGAATGCAAACTTGCTCAAGGTTTTTAAAACAATTTATATACAGAAAGATAAATAAAATTATATTGACTCAAATGTTTTATATAAGTACAGGAATTTCTATTGCCACACAATGTTTTATCATGCTTCAATAATTTTATGTACTTATAGATTATTTTAAACGTAATTTATTTATTTAATTACAAATAAGACTAGAAAAAATTTAAATTCTAATTTTATTGAATGTGTATCTATAAATTATTTAGTTTTTAATAGAACAAACTCGTCACATGTTTTTGGTGATAAATTAAGACTTTCTTTTTTTAAATCTAATACTTAGATATTATGTATTTAATATTTAGTTATTTATTACAGTAACGGTTGCTTTTTATTTCATTCTCAACATTAATAATTGTGCAAAATGTTTGTTATAATATTGCTATATCTTATAGCTGTACCCTAGGACCAAGAAATATATTTTTATTAATCAAAATGATGTGTTATTTTTTTCTGTTTAAAAATTATGAAAACCATAAATTGGGGTGAATAGAATTTGTAGGGTGAATAAATATTGAGATTATGTCTAATACCATTAAAATATGTACATGAATTAAAAAAAAAAAGTAGTCAATTGTGTTATAAGTGAATGAAACAGAGTAATATAATTTTATCACTTTATTCTTATATTTACATTAATTTTGTCATAATATAGAGAAAATAAAATTGATGATGATATGTGGACGAATAACGCGGAATGTTTCAACACACTTTAAATATTTTATAAATACAGTGTCAATAAATACTCAGCACATAAAATATAGCTTGAGCTCACAACCTTAAGATACTTTAAATAAATTTTCCCAAACCACTATAAACTCATGGTATTATAATAACTATGTACAATTTTCACACCTTACTAACTAGCTATGTTACGCGTACTGCATCGATGTCGGCCTGGTTTTTAGATACACGTATACGCAAATTAACAAGAATATAACCGCAAAAGTCGGTAAAACAACTGTGTGTATTTGCTGGCGCATTTTAGCAAACTCCTGCTTTCTCTCTCGCTTTTGTCTCGCGGTTTCTTTCACTGCACCTTTAAGCTTCCTCATGATTGTGCTGAAAATAAAACACAGAATATTGTAGAACTTTGCCACGTCCAATAACATATCAATAATGTTATCAGATCACACGTCCAAAACAAAAACATTGTTTTATCAGATAAAACTTAATAATCAACGATATCTTAACAGCTACCTTTAAATGAAGATACTCGATAAAGAACTTCTTAATTTAAATTGTTAATTATTTTTCATACAATACTATAAAAATTTAGCCGAAAACACACGTCACACCGCAAGACGTCAGTTTGATAAATTGGATTGTGATTATTGTAATTTTGACACTGACAGTTTGACAAAAAAATTTGCAGGACGATTTTTTTGTGTAAAAAATCTTTTTGAACGCGTCTATTGAAAATCCATTTTGCTTGAAAGCGGTTTTTTCGAATTCAGTAGATTTTAACATTTTGCTTTATTACAAAATAAACTCCAACTGTTACAATGGCTACAAAACGATTTTTTTGCATTTCGTTTTCGATTTCGTTGGTAATAAATGACACAAAGTGCTCGAGTTAGACTCGAACTTGGTCGGTTTGTAGGTATTTTTTTTATGCCCCTACACTATTTTTTTTCATTTCATGGATGTGTTTACTATACTAACATACTGATTTGTGGATCACACAAGAAATCCCTACGGGAATTGAACCCGCGGCTCGTTGAACTGCGACAGATTGCGCTAACCGCGCATGCGTCAGTATAGTTTACATTATTGCTACGTTAACCAGGGATATGAAATATACATAGATATATTGATATCAATCGATTATGTAATAAAAAAACTGTGTAGTAGCTAATCACATTTATTCATTACATGAATATGTATATTATAAGCTCACTCCTTTTAACTAAAACACATGAATCAGATATTATAAAATAAGTTCTACTACTTATAATGTGTAGGTAAATCCTCATCACAGGTATCGAAATGTGTTAGGTATGTTAAGGTAAGTATATTACGACAACATTTTTTTACGTAATTTATACACATTTATAAATAATTTAAGTAATCGACTTTATTCATTCATAGGAATTTCATGTTAAAACAATCCATAAATAAAAATATTAAGACAATATATTAATTGTTTGTAGCAAACACTGATAGTTGATAGAAAGTGTTGCCATATAAATAGCCTTGGCCTTGGATTATTTGGTTTTGATCATAGACTTAAAAATCTAATTTATTTAAAAGTAGGACTAAAATACAATCACACATGATATTCTCCTCCATCAACCTTCTCATCAGATAAGGAACTTATGACATAGGCACAGGTGCTTTGAGACAGCCACAGCACATACATTAGTAAACCTTCTTGGATACCGATCACCATACCACACAATACATCCAAAATGTAGTGCCTTTCAGCCAGTACTCTAGTGAGGCACACTGTAGTCACCCACGCAAGAAGAGGTGGGAGACAGAAGATAGGAATTTCATTAAATATAAGGATAGTAGCCACCATACAGGCTCGGCTTGCATGTCCAGACGGGAAGGAAAACTTGTCTGGTCCAACTTCTAGCAGCTTGTTCATAGGCACCGGTCGCCGGCGACGGACAAATGCCTTCAGTACAGCTATGACTATGATGTCCAAGATGAGTGCTGCGGAAAATGTGAAAGAAATTGAGTAAATTAAAAATCCCGTAAAATAATAACTGGGATAGCCAGTAAAATATAAAACAAAGTTACTTTGTTATTGCTCAATTGCTGAAAGCAATATAATTACATTTTTCATTCCATTACACACTTGTAAGTGTATATTATAGTACAGGATTTCTCTGCAAATCTACAATTGATTTTATGTACTAAAGTCAAACAATACAATACATGATGACCTTAATATTCCATTCTAAATAGAATAGGATTTCACCTTGAAATGCCAATTATGAGTAAGTCTAAGATTTACTTGTAGGTGGATTAAGCTAAACAGTCATGTACAGATTTCATCAATAAAGGTAGACTAATATTTGCTTATTATACCTTATGCAATTACCAAATGTTTAGGGCTACCCTACAATTCTGTAGTTTTAGATTAAGCTAGCATTTAGCCCGTGGCATTGCCCGCAAATTAAGTTATATTTATTTATAAATATTTTGTTGTAGACCACATACCACAAAAAATAAATATAGTGTACAATGGGTGGTCTTATCACATAAGGCAATCTCTTACAGACAACCATTGGATGGAGCAGTAATAGCAATCTGATATAGATCGTCCAGTGTACTAAAAAAATACAGCTAACTTTATGTTTGTCTCTACTATAACATTAATAAAAACGGTACAAAAATTTCTTTGCCAGTTTTAGAACTCTTCAATTTCCCGAAATACCAGACTTTTAGTTTCATAATTATTATGTAAGTATTTACTTATCTAAGATACTAAAACAAAGATGTGAAGTTTACAACACATTAAAAATAGTGTCAACATACCTATGAGCATATTAACTTGCAACTGATAGAGGTCTGGCTTGTTGAATAGCCAGATAAATGTGAGCCAGGCTGCCAACCACACAATGCCATGGCAAGACACCTGCAAACAAAGATAACATTAATACATACATTTCTAACTTTATCAGTCTTTTGTACAAGCGAAAAATTAGTTTTAAATGAGGTAATTTATTTAACTTTATATTAAAAAAGGAATAAGTTCTTGTTATGAAACTACACTGCGTTTGCTAATATGTCTTTTGTTTCTTTACAGATCTCCTTATTGATTCAGAAAATGCAATTTATTTCTGAACCAATCAGATATTCACAACTATCAACCAGATATTAACAGATATTACAGATACTCTTTGGAATGTAACATAATAATACAAATAAATTTAATACCTCGAATAATTTTGAATGATTGCGTAGTGATCTCGTCCATGTAACCCTTGTTGCAGACTCAACAAGTTTCTTTGTAAGCTGTACATCATTCTGTAGTATTTTCTTCAACATTGGTGGTACGTTTCTCTTCGACTGACCGTCTCTTCCAATTAACTGAAAATATTAAATAATAATAAATCAACTTTCATTGATAAAACATTACAAGAATACTTTATAAGAATTTCAATACTTTTGCAAAACAGTATTACTTTTTTTAAAGTTCTATACATTGAATATTTATTACTATCTTTATACAGCTTGGTTTTAAGACTTGTGCTTCTCCCATAACAGTTACGGCTTATTCTGGCTGATAGCAAGCTTGTAGATGTAATTTCTGATGGCACTAAGGCAGGCAATGCATACATAGTAAATATTGATGTCAGTAGCATAGGAACAATGGTGGTAGTGCAACAGAAAGAGGATAGGTCATAAGAGTGCTATTTCATTTGGGCATATCTGTTGATCAACCATGATTCTAAAGCAGCCTGGCAAGAGTCAACAAAACAAATAGTGCTGCCTGTTCTATTGCTGTATATTCGAAGTGAAAGAGAGTAAAATGTCGCGCAACTGGTGGCAGAGTATATATAGTGCTACATAGTTGGATACAGTAGTAGTTGCGAGTGATTTAGTCTCCGACAACATTGACACCGGGATTTTTACCACCATTACAACTGTATATTCAACTGTATATTCTGTTTGTTACCGGCCTGGGAATGACTAGCGTTCACGGTGTCCTAATGAAATAGGGCTCCTAATACAATACGCATGCGTAAGTGTCGTGTCTTACCTCCTCCATGATGCCTTGTATTCTACAGGAAGGGAGATTTTCAATAAGTTAGTGCACACCTGTACAAACGTAAGCGATAACTACAATAGAGGTTGCAAAACAAATGTATAAATATCGGCAAATAAATAGAAGTATGGAGAGGTATATACAGTCAATAACATGAACTAATTATTAATCTTACTTGACACTTTTGTGTGTCACACCGGCAAATATTAATGTGTTTAAAATAATGGTTAGCCAACTCTTCACTACTTATTTGATATTGTATTCCATTCTTGTTAAATGACGTCATAGTATGATGCACAGAGCATACAAATAATGATGACGAAACTACCTGCAAGCAATCAGCCAATGAATGTAAATTACTAAATTCCGATTCACAGATTGACTGAAGATGAAAATAAAAATAAGAAAAAAATATTTATGTATTCACAAAAAATGCACACCTGTCGTGTCAACTAGTGATGCACTTGCCCACCCACCTGGAATGATTAATGAACTATACTTACTACAAACAGTTTTACCGGTTTTCTGATTGCAAAATTGCAAAAGGAACAAAAGTTCAACTACGTCAGACTGGCGCTCGTGTAGTGTGTAAGACTACCAATCTATAGTATATTAAAAAATTAGATGTAAATTAAAGTTTATAGAATAAGTTACATATAGAGATAAAAAAATTTAATTTAAAAAACGAAAGACGGCCCTTGTTTTTTTGTTTGAATTTGGCCCACCTCTACCTGGTAGTGCGTTACCGGCCTTTTGGGGTTAAGAAATAATGGATTGGAAATGGCAAGGTGAAACACATAGCAAACGTTATGCACTGCTGGTTTGTGTAAGGCCGTACTCTCTTAATTCTCGAAGTAGTCTAGTCTAGTGTAGTCTCTGCTCACTCTCTCTAGACGAATTGGCCTATTCGTATCGATGACGAAGCATAACTCTTTGAAAATACACGATGCCTCTTCCATTTACTTATTTGACTACATTTCGATCATTCCAAAAATTTCATCAAAATCGGTACAGTCGTTTGAGAGAAATTCAGTGACATACACAATCACAGAAGAATTATATATATAAAGATATATAATATAATATATAAATATAAAGATGATCCTTCTGTAATATACAATATACCCAAATAGTTTTGTGAAACATAGTAACGCCATAGCAATGAGTATGCACTCCTTTAGCCCAAAGACTTAAATTTTTATAGTTTTTTATAAATATCTGTCATTATATTTGCTGTCACAGTTATTTATTTTACAATATTTTTTTTAGAATTTATAGATATAGAATATACCGTTACCTTTACCTTTAGATAAAAATTGTCCACATTTTTGGCAAAATATTTCTATGTAATCATGGAGTTTTTTGGAATTACTCTGTATGGTCCTCAGAATTATATGCACGATGTAATGATAGAACAATATCAAGAACCAATGGTTAAAGAAGACGTACATCCTCTAATGGAAAAAGTAAAGCAATATTCTACTCTTCCTAAAACGGTAAATACCCATTTAATTTCACTACTACTTAAATATAATAATATATACGTATAAGTTACAATATTATTACACATTTGTTTAACAGATACAACGTCCGGATGCAGATGTGATTCGATTTATAGATGTGTATATGGGAAGAGTAAATGGCTTTGCTTACGGTTCTACAGGCAGATTTGTCAGAATGAAACGAAAAGGAGTCATAAAACCGACTTTTCCTTGTGATATGTATAGATTTCCGCCAACCACTTATCAAGAGGTAGGTACTCCTACTCACTGACGCTACCTATCAAGTTACAAAAATAACTTTATAGTACTTTTGCTACTTACGTAATCATCATTACAGGTCGGTTGGTGGTTACATGACCCGGCTCTACTAAAAACGGATTGGTACGTAACCAGTCCAAGGTTCCCTCAACCTGCTTCGCCGAATACTTTAATTTTGGATAAAGCGCGCAAAAATAATAAATACGCAACTCTGTTTTGATCAAGATGACTTTTATGAAATAAAATTATATAAACGTGATTTCATAATTTGTTGATATTATTGATTGCTCTTAAACCAGATCTCCGATAAGAGCTAAGTATATTAAAATTTGACAACACCAGTGGAGTCTGCTGTTGCGGTCATGGACACCCCATGGGCGGCGCTGATTGCTAACCAGCAGGTGATCCTTCTGCTGCTCATTTACCTCTTATTCTATACTAGCTTTTACCCGCGGCTTCGATCGCGTCACAAAAGAATAAAAAGTAGCCTATGAGACATATACCAATACACACAGCGCCATCTATACCAATAATTTCGTTTTTCCTCAAGAATATCAATTTTTTCCGGGATAAAAAGTACCCTATTATTTAATCCGGACTTCTAACTTTACGTCTGCAAAAATTCAAAACAATCGGTTGAGTAGTTACGGCGTGAAGGTGGAACAAACAAACAAACAAACAAACTCACTTTCAGATTTATAATATTAGTAAGGATAAGGAAGTAAGGATTAAAATAAAAAGGTTTATTTCATGCCATTACCAATGTTTCAAATAGAGTAGTTAATTGGTTAAATAACTTAAGGATCCACATGACTCCAAGCCCAAACCGAGCTGTAGAAATATAAAGTAACACGAAGGTTATATTACTAAGGATACAGTTCGGTAAAAATGTACCTAAAGTTATAATTTTGTAGTAGCGTTAAGTTGCGTGATATTTTATAGCCTATAGCCTTCCTCGATAAATGGGCTATCCAACACATAAATCAAATCGGACCCGTAGTTTCGGAGATTAGCGCGTTCAAACAAACAAACAAAAAACCAACTCTTCAGCTTTATTAGATTGTAGTCGATTAGTAATATACGTATACGGTCGAAAAGTCAGCTACCCATTGACAGTTACTAAAACTATCGATTCCTGTTTGGACATCACTAGTTGAAGGCTAAACAGTTCAAACGTCAAAGTCAGAAATCCTTCTTTCAATTCGTTGACAACGTGAAGAGAGGACAACTCTTCCACAATGTCGTAAGTAATCTTTAGTTATTTTATTAATCGATAACTTTCACTTAAAGCCGTGTACCGCGTCCTACAATTAAGATGTAAATTTATAAATACCATTTATTATTTTTTTGTTTGATGGCGTACTTATATAGCAGTTTCAATCATAACCTGTGAGACGTTTCATGTGTAATTTCCATGTTTTAGGTCAAAGGTATCGCGTGATACGCTTTACGAGTGCGTAAATGCCGTCCTCCAGGCATCGAAGGACAAGAAACGTAACTTCTTGGAGACAGTTGAACTCCAAATTGGTCTGAAGAACTATGACCCCCAGAAGGACAAGCGTTTCTCAGGCACTGTCAAGTACGTTTACCTGGAAAGAGCATTTTAGTGGGATGTGTTTATTTTATAACCCCACCAAGATGAATCTGGACAGGGAGTCGGTGAAAACCGACGGGACTCGACCCAGAGTCTTAAAATAACGGGTAGGAAGGCTTCGGCCTACCGACTTAGGTTAAGATGATGAAAACATGGCCTCAGGTATGCCTTAGGACTTAAGTAAAAGTATTCAGTAGTTAAAAGTGTAATTTTTTATCTTGTGTGGGGATCAACAGGATATGAATATTGGCAAACATAAATCACAATTCCTTAGAATGATGTTCAAAATTGCATGTATTATCTGTTGATATTGATGAAGATTTACACTACTGACCATCCATGACAATATCAAATTATCTTTTACACCATGTGGTCAACAATTAACAGTCCAGGTACATTTCAGGTTGAAGTACATTCCCCGGCCCAAGATGCAAGTGTGTGTGCTTGGAGACCAACAGCACTGTGATGAGGCTAAAACTCTGACGGTACCCTGCATGGATGCTGAGGCACTCAAAAAACTGAACAAGAACAAGAAGCTGGTCAAGAAACTAGCAAAGAAGTGAGTATTACATATTTATATATCGGCATATTTTGACCAAACAATTTATTTTATTATAAGTACTAGCGAACCGCCCCAAGCTTGCACGGGTGTAATACACATGTATTATACATATAAACCTTTCTTAACTCGTCGAGTACCGGTTTTATAGACACAATTAAAGAACAATAGGTCGCGGTCACCGGTGACCGCTTGGTGTTTGACAGTTTAAGAATCACTATCTATTAAAAATCGCATCAAAATCAGTTTCGCAGTTTTAAAGATCTATGCATACATAGGAACAGACAGACGGTAGATAGGGACTTTGTTTTATACTACGTAGTTATTATAAGTATAAAATTAAATATTATAAATGTGGGGTATTTATAATTACAACCCTAAGAGCCTGTTTTCCAATGCTCAGTTAAATTTTATCAGAGGAATAATGTTGGATATTAGACAAGTCTTCTATTGTAAAAACTATTGATTGAAAAATCTACTTGCTATTTCAAGTACCTAATTGACATCCAAGACAATATTCATTGGATTTTTTCAAGTACTTACAATCTTTATAATTTAATATTTTATCTCTTCCAGATATGATGCCTTCCTTGCATCAGAATCCCTCATCAAGCAGATCCCACGTCTGTTGGGTCCTGGTCTGAACAAGGCTGGTAAATTCCCTGGTCTCCTCTCCCACCAGGAGTCCATGACACAGAAGATTGATGAAGTCAAAGCCACCATCAAGTTCCAGATGAAGAAGGTAAGGATTGCTTTTTTTTAATAGTTATTCTCTTGTATGAAGATTGTTGATTTTTGTCACATCATTTCTCTTTGTATAAGTGTTACGGAATCACACAATTTGTTTTACAAATGCAACATATTTTTTTAAATTTCATTTTGATGTTCATAATTACCAAACATCTAGTTTTCTTGGAGCCTTAACTTGTCTATGTCACAGTTTTCCTATGTATAGAGTTTAAAATTGTGTAAATATGTCTATTCCAGGTATTGTGCCTGTCTGTGGCTGTTGGCCATGTGGACATGACCCCTGATGAGCTTGCACAGAATGTGCACTTGTCAATCAACTTCCTGGTCTCTCTGCTGAAGAAGCACTGGCAAAACGTGCGCTCACTGCATATGAAGTCCACAATGGGACCACCCCAGAGATTGTACTAAGCCTGTATCAATAAATTTGACTTTACTGTACATATTTCTTTTATTTTACCGTTGTTTTTATGGGAGAGGAAGAGTATCGAGCACATTAATCTCCTGATGGTAAGCAATTAGCGCCGCCCGTAGACACGCACAAAATCAATACGTTGCCGAGATATTGTGGACCTATCCAGTAATTTTTTAGATTTGTCTACATTTTATAAACTTGACCACTAATGGTAATCTAACGAAACTAAATATATGGACTGTTGGACTATGCAGACGCTTGCTACCTAGATGCCACTGAGGAGCTATTAAATACAACTTGAGCGATTGCAAAATCAATGTATCCGCTTTGTATTTGGTCTTAAGAAATATGATCATGTCTCCGAATTTCGCAATAGGCTCAAGTGGCTCCCTATCCGTCTTCCCAGGAACACTCGCATTTTATGTCTCCTCTATAATACCCTCTTCAATCCAACTTATCCTGCGTACCTCCGTGACTGTTTCTCCTTGGTCCGTCCTCCTGAAGTCCTTACCCGTTCTCATCTTAAGTCCAATCTTAAAATTGTGCCTCATAATACCGACTTCTTCTCCTATTCCTTCACCGTTTATGCTGTGAGACTGGAATTCTCTGCCGCCTAACATTCGAGACGCTAAATCTATCGCTCTCTTTAAAAAACTAATTAAGGACCATTACCTTTCTACATGAGTACTGATACTTTTTTTTTATTTCTATGTGTGTATTTTATTTATTGTTATTATTATATATATTTATATTTATACTATATTTATTTAGTTATTATTTAGCTTTAGTCTTTTTTATACATATTTCTTATTTTTCTGTTACACACTGTGTCTTTTGTTTTAATTAGATTTCCTGTCTCAGGTCTACTGGAAGAAATTCCAACAGGAATAAGTAGCACCTTTGTACTCTTATTTTATATATGTGTTATCCTCTGTACTGTCTGTGTGTACATAAATTATTAAATAAAATAAATAAATATGTCATTTTTGGTTTTCTTAGAGGACTCTTACACAAAACTGCGATGCTACTTTCGCATCACAATACTTAACCTTTCCTTTGGGAAGTCTGTTAAAAATGTGCGAGCTCCATCTTCGCTACGCATCGCAAGAACTTGCTAATTGATTTGCATCGCGCACCAAACGCTACTTTTTATGATCCATGTCACAAACTAGATTTCAATTTAAAATACGTACGGTCGTCGAAGGAATAGTCTCTCTGGGAGACTCCTGCACGAAATCGCATCGCAGCAATTTGCGTTGCGCAAACTTATCGCAGTTTTGTGTACGGCCCTTAACTGGTAGGCAGGTAGGTCACAAAAAGTAGAAATAAAAACCAAAATACAAATTAATATGGAAACGTTTATTTTGTTTTTAAAATACACATCACGCATTTTATTCCCTAAGGAGTAAACAGGCGCAATATAATATTATGGCACCACTTTGGCTTAGTTATACATAATCGGTTATTTGTGGTGAGCAAAGTGCCTGGTAAAAAAAACCTCTATCAACGAGGCAGTCATACAATGTCACTTACACTTCTAGAATCTGGATTTAGCATATCATCGTCTGTGTCGTCACTGTCTTCATCTTCAGGCAACTGTTCGTCGCAATCTTCAACAGAGTCTTCGCTTTCAACACTTTGTTGAGAGGCAATAACTTCCCCATGAATATCTTTGTTTTTGAGGTTTCCCATCCAAAATGCCTCGGTACAATTATTCGCAGCCAATACAGCTTTTACTTTATAAATCAAAGTTTCGAGAAGTTGCCTCATATGTGGGACCTTACTCATCAATACAGTATCTTTCTTCAGTCTTGAATGGCAACATAATGTCTGTAAAAATCTCGTGGACTGCTGGAGAATTTTAAGAATTTCCAAAACTTCTTGATTTTCGCTTTTAAACTGAATTTCCAAAATAGGAATTCCTTGTGATATGAAAAGTTTTAGAACTGGTAACGATTTCTTAAAGAACGCAGTTAAATTATTTCTGTTTTCAAGGGTTTTTGCAATGTCAGACATATGTTTCATTATAGTAGCTACTTCTTTCCACAAATGTAAATGTTCAGAGTTAGTCATACCTTTCTCTAAGCAAGCTTTAGTTGCATCATGAAGCGCAGAGCCCAGGTTTCTATAAAATATGGGAAAATTGCTTTTGTTTATGCACTTGAAAGTGCTTAAAGTATTTTTATTACTTTTAAGCAATTTTATGTCTTCTGTTAACTGCAAACTCAAATTTTTCAGTGCTAATACTTCTTTATTTATAAAGTAAATAGAAGCCAAAATATCTATGCTTTGGTTATACAGTAATCCCTTTTCTAATATTCCTTCAGGAGTTTTCCATTGCCGCGATAAGAAATTCTGAGCTAGTATCTTTGAAATGTTAAGTATAACTCGGCTATCAGAATGGATTTGTATACTTTTCAAAAATTCTATGAGAGATATTGCAGTAGAGATTTGTAAACAATACTTTTCATATTTCAGCAGATTTTGAGCAACAGTGATTAGAAGGTCTCCTATAGTTGCTGCATCATCAGTTGTGTTTGCTATGACATTCAGAGAACTCTTCAGTAAAGGACTGTGAACAATTTGTTTAAAACCTACCCATTTAAAAAATATAGTGCAGAAATTGAAGATGGACTCCAAGCAAGTGATTAGATTAAGTAAATCAAGTGTGTATGCAACTTCATTTTCATCTTGGGTTCCCATACATTTGTCCATAGATAAAGTCACAAATTTCAAATGTTCTACCATTTGAGGTAGTACGTCTTTAACAGTCTTCGCGCATTTTTCAGCTTCCTCAGCGTTATAAGCAACACTGTTTTGGTTCGATAGAAATGTTTTTCGTTTAATTTTGGATAATAGCACTTTCTCTATGTTACTGTTTAGACTTTTTAACAAAAAAGTCAGAGTTTTTACTGTGAGTTCAGTTGTTGATGCTTTTTCCTCAGTCATTTCAGTTTTGATTAAATGGATTATATTCAAATTCAACTGTCTGACTGGTATATTGTGACTTAGTTCTAGACTATTTTTCACAGAGGCATTGTTTTGTGTAGCTTGAGACCTTGCAGTTTGTGGTAGCACACTATCATCTTGGCCAGGCTTCTTTGTTGACCCTTTCTGTTTACCAGTTTGTGCTTTTATAGGTTTCACCTCAAGTTGTTCACCAGTATATTTGTTAACATTAAAAGAACAAATAGGTGGTTTATAAGTAATCTTACTTCTGATAAGAATTTCTTTAACAGTTGTTTCCAACTCTTCAATTTGATATATCCTTTTTAATATCTTTCCATTCAATTCTTTATCATTTTGGGTTGCAAATGCATTGATTAATTCAATGAACCAATTTATACAATGGACTAAGCAATCTAAAATATTAGTAATTGCTACTGAATCCATATCTTCAATTAAGTTTATGTCAAACTTTGGCATAATAACAGGGCATCCTAATAGAGCATCTATGCTTGACAAATTGCCGTCATATTGCCTGTAATGCAATGTTTGGACAAGTTGAAAGAGGGGAGACAAGATGCCAATATACACTTCAGCCTTAGAATCCAAAGTTAAGCCAGCAATGTTAATAGCAATCACCTCATCAATTTCGCCCTCTGCATTAAGACAGTACTGCATAGTTAACTTTAAATCATTAATTCTATCAACTTCTATTGAGTCAACAATAAAATTTTGCTGTAAATCATTGGTTACAGCATCAGTAAGCCATAACAATGCCTGCTTATTTGAGAGTGAAGCTCGCAATACAACTTTCGACAATTCATCATAGAAGAAAGCAGTCATATCTGGGAATTGTCTAGTGCTTTGGCTTAATAGTTCTATTATTTGTGCTGTATCACGGGCATTACTTTCAAGATCAGCAGTATGGGTGACTTGATTACCTTGCCTGTCATATCCAATGACGGTACTTGTGTCTTCATACAGTAGGTACCTAACGGCGTAGACTCCCGCCAGAATGCCCTGAACTTTTACTCTTGGATTAGAAGATCCTAATTCTTTTCTAATTATCATATGGAGATCATCTCTTATTACTGATTCCCTAAAGGAATAGGCTAATGCGCATAGCACATTCATCACACCTCTTACTTCATCCAGAGACATAGTATCTAGTCTGTCTAGTAGTGTCAGCATTTGAACACTTTGTGATTTCAAAAGAGCAAATTCATGGTCAAAGGTATCATTCAAAATAACTATGATCTTCATAACACAATGCTTAGAGTCAAGCCCTAACTGTAGTAGTCCTGCAATAGTTATGTCACGACAGTCATCTAAATATTTTAATAAGTGTGTATATATACGGCCAGTGAATATATCCAGGCTGCTATCTGGATCAGTATTTGTCTTTAACAGTGAATTTGAAAGATCAATTACATGTTTCAAATATTCTCTTAATATTGGCTGGAAATGAATGAACACCTTGTCCAATAACTCTATTTTGAGAATATTTAATTTGACCTGTTTTCTAATTAAGTTTTCTACTTGTTTTTTTTTCTCTTCTGTTGTTGAATATGCAATAAATAGAACAATAAGATCAATGGGCTTGTAGGATGCAGACTCTTTACATAGAGATATTGCTTTTAACCATGAATTGCTAATAACTTTGGATGAAATCATAGAATTCCTTATAGCTGTAGCAGTGAGTATCTGGCTTGTAGTTCTCTCCTCATGATTCATAGAAATAGTCCATCCTAGAGCATTTCTCAAGCCTTGTACTGTTTCCAAATAAGAGGCATCACTCATTCTCCCAGGCATTAACAGGAATTTAACATAATTAGGAAAATTACTACATCTGGAGAGACTTGATAAAAGATTTAGTGATTTTGTCTGTAATTTGGCATACTGGTCATCAGATAAACATAAGTAGGAAAGGCAATCTAAAATAGCAGGGATCAGATCCCGATCTTCACTTAAAATTCTGCTCATTTCGGTAGCAATGTTGTCATGCTCTTGATCTCCAATTATATCAGGTATAGCAGTTATTATCTCCAGTTTGACCATTTTCTCTGAAGCAACATCTAAGAGGTTTATTAGATTTGTGGATATCTTATCCGTAGTCACAATACTATCCAAAGAGGAAAAGCATTTAAGTATCATCCGTATCCAGGGTCCACACTTAGATTCAGCAGCCAAATCAATTGCCTTTTCAAATATGTATTCAGTTATTTTATTCTGAATGACTGGAACACTAAGTAGTATCTTAATGACACTGTCGTTTACAAGGTACTCTTCACCACTATCTCCACCGATCCTCATAATATTAGGGAACAGGTAATGTTTGAATATTTCCAAATCTTTACACTCATCCTCTAAATTCATAAACAGGTCAATCAAATTTCTTGGGTAATCAAAATGCTTTTCAAGGTTTTTTTTTAGATTACGGATAATTTGAATAGTCTCAAAGGAAGTTGTGCATTTTTCCGGAGGATGTTTCAGAATAAGCCCGCTTTCTCGTAAAGACACATGAAAATACGTGCTACTTACATCTTTAGATTTCTTGCTCTGGCTGGTATTATTAAGTTCAGATGATGCTCTTTTGGACATATTTGAGTTTCGTGTCAGCTTGTTACAGTTGTTTAGTTTCTTGTATTTGATTTTGATACGACTCTTTGTTTACCAATGAGCGTCCTCAGCACTTGTTTGAACTTGAACAGTAAACTTTTAAATGTCAAGTGTCAACCATAGTCCATAGAATCTAGAATGATATTTGTGACAGCTATCAGGAAAATCCATTGATATAAATATCTTGATTGGAAATACCTACGAAAAAAACATACTTACCTTAGGGCATTGAATAAAAGGCAGATTGGCGGACATAATGTCACTTAGTAAGAACCAAAATATCAGTGGGTTACTTATGTGTGCGTGTGTTTTTTTATGGAATAGAAGGCAAACGAGCAGACGGATCACCTGTTGGTAAGCTATCAGCGCCGCCCATGGACACCCACAACACCATAGGAGTCACAGGTGCGTTGTCGTTTAAAAAGGAGTACGCTCTTTTCTTGATGGTTTGAAGGTCGTATCGGTTCGGAAATACCGCCGACGACAGATCATTCCACAGTTTTGCTGTGCGAGGCAGAAAACATCGTGAGAAGCGCACAGTTGTGGCCTGCCAACCATCTATATGATGGGGATTCATATGCTGTCGTGAAGCGATGGCGAAAAGATGCGGCAGGTCAAACAATTCCTCAAAGCACTCCCCGTGGTATAAGCGATAGAAAATGCACAATGAAGCTACTTCTCTAAGCATTGCCAAAGTGTCCAGCCGGTTTGAAACATCCAGACATCCAACAATCCGAACGGCACGCCGTTGAATGCGGTCCAGCGGACGAAGCTGGTACTGGGGTGCCAAAGATGAGAACAGTATTTCATGTGGGGCCGAACCTGCGCGTTATTTATATGGACCAAATTAAGTCCACCCCAATCAGAGATTCTCCCTAAAGAGGTCTCGATTTCAGCCACGAGTCTGTTTCGGCTCTCTATGATGTTTTCCGGAGAAATGTTAGCGCGGCCGGTGTAGTGTAACGGATTATCACGTTACCAGCTTAAGGAAATTACAGATGTCCTTCGTGTAAATAGGTACCGCGGTTGAAAACTATTATGTTCTAACTCAAACTATCGTAGCACCGAATTGCACTCAAATAGGTTCAGTGGTTTAAGCAATATAGACGCCCGGAATTTTAACGCATAGTTCCCATCCCATGAGATTTCCTTTCCAGTGCCCGTGTCTCAAACTCTCGTTGAACCGAATTTCAATCAAAAGCTTATACTCTATGGTGTAATGTCAAAACTAACAGTAGGTAGATAACCTCAATTCAAAATAATATTTTAATATTTTTTCACATAATATTCAATTAAAAGTATTTCAATACAGTAAACTATTTTTAAAATATGAATCTTAATATATCTGGAGTCGCAAAATATGTGTGGAAAACTCAAAATGTCGCTGGATTCGGGGTAAGTTGTAAATTCCTATAATTTTCTAAATGTTGAATAGCATTGAATAAGTTACTACTCCTTGTTGTGGTTTGATTATGTAAAACTAAAATGATTAATATGAATACTTTCTAGTTCCAACAAGTGCGTAACAAGTGGTCTAATTGGCTTATGATCCGCGATGTGAAAAGGCGCCGTATGAGTGCTGAAAACTATCTTGAACGGACTCGGATCAATGCGATGAGGAAAAATGATATCCTGCCCGTGGAGATCAGAGAACTGGCTGATAAAGACATAAACAAGTTTGAAATGAATGCTATCCCACTCAGAATTAACAACAGATGTGTGATTACTTCAAGGTAGAGTATATAGAACTATATTTGATAAGATATGTAAACCGATTCCACACATTTTTGGGCATTATCCTTTGTATGACTTTTTTATTTAATCTAATTCATGCCATTTTGACAAATATATTTATATATTGACATGAAATTTTTAATTAAATTGGTGACATATTTTGAATTCACAAATTATAATAATTGTGTTGATGGTTTGAATTTTGAATGTATAAATTTTTCTCCAAATAACATTGTGATGCTGTAATTTTTGTAATTTGCTTGCCACAAGGTGCAATGTGATCGGAACTGTATCTACTTATCTGCTAACCACTTAATTTACCCATATTAGCAAATAAATTATCTGATTTGATAACTTAGAACTGAAGATATGGATGTTAAATGACTACACTTTTAATAACTTTTTGAATAATTACTGTAGTCTTGCATTCTTTAATAGCTGCCTATAGTCTATTAGCAATGCATGCTGAAAGATTTGACACTGTTAATGCGCTAGGGACCGGTTGAGAAGATGTTCGTTACCACCAGGTTTCGCTGGGCGGCAAAATGCTCACCACGCGCCCACTGGCAATTCGTGGCGGGCGCGCCATGAATACCCTAGGGTACTAACATATTCTCACACCTGTCTCCCACTATGGTACACAGAGATAGCACAAATTTAATGATTGATTTAAACTACCTATTTATACCTATTGATTTAAGGTACCAATAATTTATGTTTCAGACCTAGAGGCATAGTGAAGGACTGGAGAATGAGTCGTATAGTGTGGAGGCACCTGGCTGACTACAATAAACTGTCCGGAGTACAGAGAGCTATGTGGGGATAAATTATATTGTGTAATTAGATAATGTATTGTAGACTGTAATAAATTGTTGCTTACCCGTTATTTTACTTTTCTTTTATTTAAAACTACAATAGTCTCATGTAGTAACAAACATGTAACTTCATATACACATCAAGACAAAACCCAGAAGTCACATAAGATAGAAATATGAATTTGTGGATTGTTGTGGGAATCCAACCTGTAATCACTACACTACCTTATAACAGGGTGAATAATGTTAGATCATTATCCTAACATTAATTCACTCATATAGGTACTATTCATCCCATTTTACCATACTGAGACAATCATAGTCATGGCATGTAAATGTTTATGTCGTGAGACATAAAGCCAAAAACAATAATTATTTGTTGTTGAACACCTTTAACAGGATATAATATTTTCCAATGATAACTATAATGACATGACATGAAAATAAGTTCATATTTTTTAGTAACAAGCCACTTTTAGAGAACACAGACCTACACAAAATTCTATGAAATCACAGAACAGTGCAGGTTAGGCACACCTTATTGCTGTAAGAAAATTTAAAAAAATATAACTCCTTTACAAATAGACAGAATCCTAATAAGGTTGTATATTAATTAAATTCACAAAACAAAAACTCGGTTTAAAAAAAACTTTATTATAAAGTCATTTTAGTCTTACAACTAAATAAGCTTGATAAAGCTTACAATGGAATATTCCAGCTTCAGCACAAAGCTTTTTAGTCAAAGAGACCTGAAACAAGACAGAAATTGTAATTAGATGATGTCCATTTAAAAAACTATATTTAGGGTTTGAAAGATTCTTCTCAGTGGTAAAGTTTATCAATCATTAGATTCTGAAGCTAATACATGCAAACATCATTGAAGTTGGAAATACAAGAATTAGTATTGACTGTCAGGTAATTTTGATAATTATTATAATTCTAGCATCAATACCATTTCTTGAATGGTAGGACAAAATAGAGGTGTACTACAGTGTATACACTTTTGCTTCTACTATATCATCAGTTATAGTATTGTACAAATCACCGTTAATCAAAATGAAGAAGGCATCTGGATTATGAATTTATTTAATCAATTCATATAAGACCCCATTTAAGGTAAACTGTCTGTCATGTTATTACTGGATGGGTCTGTTAATGTACACATATTAAGTATATAACGATAGTTAGTTTTTAACAAAATGGCTCCTTTTCCCCATGGGGTCAGCAGTAGTGTATAGGCACTGTATGTACACCATATTCAATATCACGAAAATAGTTTTAGAATATTTTCTTACCGAAGCCCATGTCGTCGTCGGACTCCTCAGGTTCTTCTTCCTTCTTCTTCTCCTCCTTGGCCTCAGCAGCGGGCGCTGCGGCGGCAGCGGCGGGCGCAGCGCCGGCAGCCGGGGCAGCTCCCACGCCGGATCCGATGTTGGTGATCAGGTCGCGCACGTTGATGCCTTCCAGCGCCTTTGCGAACAGACCAGGCCAGTAGGGCTCTACATCAACGTTGGCCGCCTTCAGGATGGTGGAGATCTTCTCACCCTACAAAACACAACATCAACAAATAAGATTCGCGCCATGACAAATACAACACTGGGCTGAAAAATATTAGGGCACAACTTTGCGACATCACTTACAGGACTGTTTTAGGTCAATTCACTTATAGTTTTTATAGAAACACTCACGATGAAAACGGATAATATCATGAGTGGAACATAACCTAAAACGACATTTATGAAAAACACAAGAATACTTACAGTTACGGCAACGTCATCATCAACGAGGATGAGAGCGGAGTAAACGCAAGCTAATTCAGCCTTTGATGCCATTTTTAATTATAAGACGTGCAAGTCGCCAACAGGCCTTAGCTCTCAGAGAACAAGCACGTTTGACTTCACGAATTGAAGAGAAACAAAAAGGCAGGGAACTGTCAAAGCATTCGTATCTGTCAAACGCGTCAGTAACAAAAAACCGGTCTGTTTGGCATCTCTTTTTAACCAATACGAAAGAAAGAGCACGAGAATTATATTATGATCAAAATATGTATAGCTGTGTCTGGAACATCACACCTTGTAGTGTTGCAACTGCAAAAAAAATTTGGACAATGGGTAATCGATTTTATTAGGAATCCAACCACAGTAGGGTGCAGAGTATAATAAGTATTAGGGTGATAAGATAATGTTGAGATGGCAAATGGCTAGCTAGTATTTTCATTGATTAAACTTTTTCTGAAAAGTTACTTTCGATTATACTTCGTCCGTCACAAGCACAATAATTATGATCTTGGAAGGTTTTGATCTTTTTCAGTTTCCTGACGTTTTCAGTCATAAAAACTGAAAATTTGAAATTGTGTCCCATGGATGGCAAACCTTTGACTCTTTATACCCTCATGTAATAAATAACTGGCGAAACGTGGGTTTTTCATTTAATTATGTGACTAATTTCGGCAAACAGAACGTGTACTGTAATCTCGTTACGTGTCGTATCCTAAATGAAAATAAAACTATAAATTATAGGCATAAATTTTATTCAGCTTATAAGCAAAATGTAAATTGATATATTATAATAGACAAACAGTGCACAGGTACATATATTTCTATTTACAGATAGCATTGATATAATTATTAATAATATAATTTACAAGTCCCACGAAAATAAGTGATGTTTTACAAGCATGTCTCGCACTCCTTCTTTTAAGGGTTGATTTTGCGTATCCTTCTTTAAGGGTAGCTCCCAGTCTGGATTTAAATTGAATCCAAATTGTGAAAGGATTCGTAATTCACATTTAATTTGTACCCATCCTGGCGAATTAATAAATGACCAGGGATGGTACCATTTTTGGACAACATCTACACAGGAGCACAATACTTCAAGCCACAAATGTAAAGCTTCTTCGTTTAGGCCCATGCAAATTAATGTGCGTAATTTAACGTCCATTTGAGCATGTGCATTATCGTGTGACAAGTTGATGGCCTGAACACATCTGTACAGTAACTCTTCTGGCGTAAGAACTTTGCCATCTTCATCCAAACGATATGTTTTACACAATACTAGCCGACTATAAACTGAATTAAAGTCTTTTTCAACTTCTCGAGAAGATGCTTCTTCTATAAAAAGCCAAGGATGACATGGCCCATCTAAGAAACTAGGCCGTTTTATTCCATGCAGAAGTACCCTTTTGAAAGCTGGAGCTAATACTCCTCTGACTAGATGTGCAGCTTTTTCTGTCACAGAGTCATCTCCAGCTCTGCTATATTTTACGCCTTTCTCATCCAAGAGCTTCACAAAACGGGCTGGAAACCAACCTCGAAGGCCATTTAGCTCACCAATCCAACAATGTTCATCTCTTGAACTAATCACCTCAATGACATCATTTTTACGAAATCCTAATTCATCTCCATCTCTTCTTTCAAAATCTAACAGTGCTTTTGCTCGCCTCCTTTTACTTCTTGAGACATTGACATACCTTTCCCTGTCTGCTGCATGACTTTGCATTGTGTAATCTGCTGTCAGCTGGACTTCAGAAGCTAGTTGTGGTTCTAGAGCTAGAAAATGTCGTGCAACTTGCAAAATAGCCTCTCTGAGATCAACTAATATTTCTGTTTGTTTGACATTTTTAGAAACTGCATCCTCATTGTTACTATCTTCTCCAAATAGTATTGTTTGTATTACTGACTTACTTTTCTTTATTTGGCGTCTTTGTAGCTGTTGCTTTGGCAAATTAGGTACTGCACTAGGATTGCCTACCAAAGCCCCCTGATCTGCCATGAGGTATGCTAGATGTCTTCTTCTGTGAGTATCAATCAATGTTGGGCTTAGAGTATCTCCACAAACTTCATCAATGGTTTTAATAAGAACATCAACATCATCAATTTCACCAGGAATGTCAGACAGTGCATTGAAAATTTGTGCAGAATTAGATATTTCAGTAAAACGATTTTCTTTAATTTTCAACATGGCCAAGGTGATCTTGAATAGGACCAAAGAACCATCCAAGAAGAAGAGATCCCAAATCCTTAGTAAAATTTTCATGCACAACATTAGCATACAGGGTCAAAAACCAATGCATTGTTATTAAAGAGAGTTCAATGTCATGGGCATTTAAAACCTGGTCTATTCCAGGCAAATATGTTGAAATAAGACTTCTTAATACTTTTTGGTCAGCTTGTATTCCTATCAATGTGGATGAGTAATATGATGCAGGCAGTAAATCTTCCACAGTAGTACACATTATCCAAAATGCATCTTCTTCCTCCATTAAAAGCAATAATGATGCTGCAATCATTCCAGTGCCCTGACAGTAACCAATATCAGGATATAGCCACGCCAGTGCCCTCAGTATTCTACGTAATCTCGGCACACCTGTACTGGTTGGATGTGAGAAACAAACATTGTTAGGTAATATTTGTACCAAATCCTTTTCTATTTGTTTACTAGTTACCAATCCATCATCACTAGATGCTCGTACAATTTCATGGTATGTTATTTCTGTAGAAGCCCTTTTCTTATTAGCACCACATAAATGCATCCAAACCTGAGGGCGAAGTGAATGAGGTACACCATCTTTTACCATTTTCTGCAATTTATCAGTTTTCTCTAGTTTCCCTTCACCATCAGAAAAGTTTATTTCTTTGCTGTAAAATTCCCATTGTAGACGGTGTTGATCATCTTCAACAAAAGCATCTGCTAGTAATTTGTTCGAACTCTGTTCTGGTCCATCTTCTTCTTCAACACAAAACCCAAACTCGTCAAATCTGTAATCCGGGAGACCACCACCGTGACCTTCAGATTCTGGTTGTGCCAATTTAGCCATTATGTCTTGGGGTACCATACTAGGCGTTAATGCTGAAAATGGACCACCTGGCGCTGGAAGCAGCTCGTCAGCGATGTTTAGTCCTCGTATCGCATCAATCATATCCTCGGGGTCATCATCAGCTAATGCAGCACTTATTTTACGTTCATGGTCTTCACGGCCCACATAACCAACATGATCACGAGAACTAAACAAGGATTTTGCTAAATCCATTTTATTTGAAGTAAGATTTCACGTTTGATCAATTATTTGTTCTATTTCTAGGCTTTCCCTTTACAAAACAATTTCATGTACACTCATTCTTGTGGATAGTAAACGTCAACATAAATAAAGGTCAAACGTCAGTAATCACAGCAAAGATATAAGTAGAACATTGTAAACCTTTGCTAACATCTGCAATTTTATTGGCATCCTTGTCACACTCAAACGTTTTCTATATGCTATTGCTATCGTTTCACACAGTGATGCTACGTCAATAACATTTTTGGCCGCAAAAGTAATTTGGGTTTTCGGTGTTGGCAGCTATTGATTTTTATTTCCTTACCTCATTACCCTAATCTACCTCAAAGACAAGAATAGGTAATATTTTTAATATTATTTTAGCAATAAAAGGCAAAATATTTGATAATTCACTACAATTACGTATAAATAAAATGTTTTGTAAATAATAAATAAAAAAAAGATTAGTCTTATCACGTTTGTTTAAGTCAGTTTAGAAAATTTTTATCAAATTAATTAATAAATTATTTACTGTTTTTTTTTGTTCCGTGAGTCAATCAATAATGTTCATATAAATTATTTAGTCTAAAAGGATAGGGTGTAAACTTTTAGACCATAGACTAACATAGTCTGTGGCAGTCTGTAGAAAGTCCTATGGACCTTTGGGGCCTAGGAGGGCTTTGGTGTCATGCTGTCATGTCATGTCATGGCGTAATGCGAATGCGAAATGATTGTCAGTTTGATGTAATTGGTATTGTATTTTGGTTACAACAATTATTTGAGCGAGTTTTGTGATTTCAATATACTATTTAAGGATTGAAGCAAGTAAATCTTGCTTAGAACGTACCTTACAGTGTAAATACATTGATATATTGTGTCTAACAGGTTTGTATACATTAATTTCTTATTACTAAAAATATCTGTTTACCAAAGTTCTAACTAGATTAAGTACAGAGAAAAACATCGTTTGTTAACATTTCACCATATATCTAATTGCTTTCACCATATCAAGTTTACGTGATTTGATTATTATTCCTGGTAAGCAAGTAATTTATGGTTTCAGTATTTGCTAGGAACAAATGGGACGCCAAATACACTGAACTAACCTGTCTAATTAAAGGGCTAGTCTCTATTGGGTTAATGTAACTCTGTGATAATATAATTATAACATTTATGTTGTAAACATGTAAATATACATTTCAAGTAGGAAAACCACACTAACATATTAAAAACTGGTTGTACATAATGAGACAGATATTCCATTAAGAGTGTAACTAGATTTTTGCTAATGGCTTATGGCAGTGGTACCTTACTGTTGTATGGACAGATATGTTGAATGGTTTCTCTCTACTAATTGTCTTTACAATTAAGCACTAATTACATAGTATATTACATCATAAATATTAACATTAGGATGGCTGTAAAAAAATGTTGCGTTGACAACTGTAACTCATGTTCTACAAGAAAGGAGGATAAAGGTGTAACATATCACAAGTTCCCAAAAAACGATACTTTACGTGACATTTGGGTAGCTGTTACACATTACAAACACACTGACACAGAGTTGCCGCACTTTGTGTGCTCACGGCATTTCTGTAAAAATGACTTTCAAAGTTACAAGGACTCTAAATACAAATTGAAACCAGGTATTTAGTAGAATGTCCTTATTGCTTGATGGTTTACTATTTACATCAATGTTTTAGTTCATTTCTTTTCTTTTTTTTATGTAGACATGTAGTTGTATTGATTTGTATTGAATGTTGTTGTAGATTTTGATTGCTAGAGCACTGTAGGAGCTGCGTCTCAACTTTTCACTTTCATTTTATCATTTTGCTAATCAAATAATCTTGCTAAACATTTGAATGTAAAACTTATTTTTAGTATATATAAATAGAAACTATGCTTGTTATTTGATTCTTTTTGGTTTCTGTCATACTTATTGTCATTGCTGTCATTAGACATAAACTGTATGAACTGTTGAAGTATCGACAATATTTCCATTATTGTATTCTTCTGAACTATTGTTGCATGGTGCAAACATTTGACAAATAAATCAGTTGTTCATAGTATACTTTATTTCAGACGCAGTCCCTTCAATATTTCCATGGGATTCCGATACTGAGGAAGAAATGGAAGACATAAGCGCACCGGTTGAAGGTTTCAGTGCGGACTGTGAAGTTGAGAATGTTGATGCAATTAAAAAGTTTATAGAAGCGCAAGAGAAGGAATTACAGGAGCAGAAACTGGCTGACTTTGAGATTAGTGAGAAAAGTAATGACACTGCGGATAGTGCTGCGCCATGTCATAGCGAGACTGTGTGTGAGCCTGGCTCTGTGATGGGCGTGATACACAGCGAGTCTGAGACTGATGTAGACATCTCTAAGAAAAAAGATGTTGCTAGTAAACAGTTATTAAGTCCAGTGGACAAAGGTAAGAGTTTTAATTGAGATAGGGTTTGTTAGCAAACTTATACTATGTTATTTCTATTTAAGTTTTATTTTTTTGGGATAAGCCGGTAAACGGTCAGACAGACCTGATGGTAAGCAATCGGCGACGCGCATGGACGCCCGGAATACTAGAGGCGTTACTGACCGTTTGGGGATTAGTAGATTACTTCAGGAAATTTTGTTCAAAGCCTATAAAATGTATTTGCATGTCTACAGGTAACAACAGTACTATGGCCCTCTCAATAGGTTCAAAAGTAGAAGCTAAAGATTTTGAAGAGAAATGGCATGCTGCAGAAATAATAGAAGTTGACTATGAAGAGATGGAAGTACTTATACATTATGAAGTTGATAGAAAGAAGTGAGTTGATTTCGTTATTTTTTATGAGGGGCAGGGTATAAAAAAAAAAACTACTTTAAAATCCAGCAATTTTTTAATTGTTTCCTATATTTTTTGTAACACACATCAAATTATGGAGATGTAGTTACTAGTCGGATCGTCTTCTTATTTATTCGGTTCGTTCGTGATCGTAGGTCAATTTCCAGATCACGTCAAGACGAACTAAAAAAAAAAATTAAGAAAATCGAATAAATCCTTTTTTTTGTTATAAAAATACTACTGGCTGGAATGCAAAAATGACAGCTATTTAAAAAATTAAATAGTATTTAAAAAATTATAATATTCTATTAATCTATGGTTACGTAATGGATGATTTTTCGAAATTAATGTATTTCTAAATAATTTGAAAAATGTCTTTTACATATAATACGCGTAATAAAGCATTGCGTGAAGGACGCAGGTATTTATAAAAACTATGATTTATTTACTTTTGAACATTTACTCGAAATTTTCATGTAAAAATCGTGTTTCCTAATTTGAATTCGGTTTACTTACTACACATCTTATCTACACATTATATTTTAATTGTTATCTATATGTACATATAAAAATTAATGTCTTTTTCCCTTGGTCACGGCATCACGCGTTGTTCTATTTGTTATTATTAGGAGAAGGTTCTTAAGACGAAAAATCCTGAAAATCTGGAACTGGAGAACACGGGATTGCGCATACGAAGTCCCGGGCAGAAGCTAGTATCGAATAGTTTCGGTCAACGCGTTGCGGGTCGATTCCTACTCAACAATTATTTATTTATCTGATCTGCGGGGTCTTGATGTGATGTAAATATTATAAGTTGTATTTGAAAAACATATTTTTTATTTAAATTACAGACACGACGAATGGATAAGCGTAAGCAGTCCTCGTCTAAGGCCCTTCAATGAGGCCTCAACCAGTAGCAGCACAAGTTCAACCACAGTCAAACCTGGGCCCAGTTCAGAAGAGAGTCTCACAGACACACTGCCTATATCTTCTCTGAAAGAAGAAGCGAAAGATATAAAGACAGAAGAGAAGATTAAACTGACTTACGCCGTAGGAGAGCGATGTCTTGCAAGATGGCGGGATAACCGACGGTTTATTGCCACTATTCTGAAAGATCTGGGGGATGGTAAGTTTTTTAAATTATAATGTAAGAAGTAGTCCCGGTCATTTTTTCCCTTGGAGAATGGAAAGAAAGAAAAATGAATATGAGAATTGGAAACATACCAAAGTATTTTCATATTTTGGGAAAAGGGCAAGATTATACGAAGATTATGTTCAAGACAATCACTTCTTGATCAGGTTTCTCAATGTTATTCTGGTACACACTGGAGAGATAAGCAGTACAAGCGGATCTTTTCCACTAAGGGTCATCTGGATAAAATGAAATCATCTTACTTTGCATCAAATGCATTTGCTCCACCTATATTGAGACTTTCTAGAAAATTAGAAGTTGAATGTTATGGTAGTGATGATCAAAGGGAATATGGTAGTTCCATACACCATTTTATTTTTCAAAAGTGCAAGATTACACGAACAGTATATTTGATTTGAAGTATTTATTTTTTGTTTTTTTTTTTCGACAGGCAATTACGAAATTGTTTTCGACGACGGTTGTAACTGGACGTGTAATACGTCTCGGTTGCACAAGCTGCGCTCGAAACAAGGAAGTGGCACACCGTCCGCGCCCATTTCACACGGGGCGGGGCCATCCAACGCGAACACACAGACGGCCTTCCACACACACCTATTTGACCCTACAAGAGATTATTTAGGCTCAAAAAGCGAACGTCGCGAAATGAAGCGCAAATTAAACATAAAAGAAATATTTAATATAGGACAGAAAAAGTCTCGAAAGCAGAAGATTCCGGATGAAAAACCACATAAAACTGTGGAAAGGAAACCACGGGTTTTGAAAAAGAGGCGGGAGCGGCCCGTCAAGTTGAAGCTTGAGAGCGAAATTAAGACGGAAATTAAAACCGATGTGCCAGGTTGGTGTTATTATTACTTTACTGTTCATAGAAAAAGACAGGCGGACAAGCTAGGAAGTACACTTTTTGTTCCACAAAAGGGGTACGCAGAGATGTTACTAAATACACCAATTTTTCACCAGTCACCTATGATTTTTTTGTAATTTGGGGTTGTGTCTATTGTCATAGATATTACCCAAACTCTAGATACGAATTACAAAAATTCTTGTCCCAGTAATAATTTGCGTGATCCGCTCTTAAAGTTCTTGAATATCAGTTACAACTAGATTCAATGAGATACTTATTCCTTAAAATTAATTTACAGCAGTAGATGCGGTAGCTTCAATCATTGGTACTGTAAGCAAAGAAGAAACAGCAAATATAGATGTTAAAGAAGATGAGAAGCAAGCCGAAGAAACGCCGGAGTCAGTACAAGAGGAGAGTGAGAAAGAAGAAGTACAACCAGAACCTACTGATGATAAAAAGATAAAGATTGAAACAGAAGGTTTAAGGCTTAACTCCACTGAAGAATCAATTAAACAAAATGACAATGAAGATGATCTTATACAGTTAGAAGATCTAAAAGGCGAACTAGACCCAGTAAGTAAATTTCTAAATAGTTTTCATTTAGTAAACATTTTGTGTCATAAAATTCATATAAAGATGTTTGTTTCAAAGCAGCCTGGAATTACAGTTGTGCAAGTGAGTGATAGTAATAAAACGGTATATAACTCATAAAATGATTTAATTAAGTATTATTTTCCTATAAATAAGGATTTATAGCAATAATTTAATCTTACAGGTTTTAGATGAAGAAGTTAAATTAGAACAGTTTGAAAAACAAGACGACGTGAGACACGAAGAAGTAATAGACAGAATCAAAGAAGCTATAAACAAACTAGAAGATGGATTGAGTCAAATAGAAAAGGTTAACTCGCCTAAAGTAGAATTAGAATTGAAACAAGAAATATTTTCACCAGAAGTGAAACCAACTCCGGAAGTTATAGAAGAAGAAAGTGACAAGATAGTAGAAGAACCAACGGAGAAAGATAAGAAGAAACTAGCAAAGGTTAAGAAAGGAAAGAAGTTGAGATTATTGCGGGAGAAGAAAGTAAAGAAACAAGTGGAGATAGTAAAACATGAACTAGAACAGATGAGAAAACAGATGTCTGAGATGCGGAAACAGATACTAAAGAGACCGGACTTAGCACATATAGCGCCGGGGTCCATGTTGCCTGAATCCTTCCTGTTGCCTAATGAATGGTGTTGCCGATGGGTCAATGGCCAGCCCCTTGGTACCGTCAGTGAGATCGAGTGCGAGGTTAAACAACAAGAGCCTGGCAGTAAGCCACCTCTACCCAGGAGAAGTGTACAGGTACATATCTAAGAACTTATTTAGTTGTTTATTTTCAGCCGTTTTTGTCCTATTTCAAATGGTTCCTTCCATTCTTCTGTGCAAAGATCATTGAGACCAATTCTTTATTAAATTCATCTAACTACTTCTGTAATAATAATCAAATAAAATAGTTTAAATATATGTTAAGTGGCTACAAGAAGAAACAGTTTTCATAAAATATAAGTTTCTATGTTTTGTAGGTTGAAGACAAGCGATTACCTGAAGGTTGGACGAAACACATGGTTCGTAGGAGCTTTGGGAATTCTGCGGGCAAGTGGGACGTCGTGTTAGTTAGGTAATATTGTTTTGAAGCTTTGTAGATTGTACATTAGTTGATTTCTAAATGTACTGGGGAATAGAAGCTGTTGGTGTGCTTGTATAATCAGATTTATAATTATGATATGAGCTAAAGATATGTGTGTATTGCAGTAGATGGAGCTCTGAATGTTTTGCTTATCCTATTGCGAACATTTATACTTTTCTATTGTCAGAAGTTGGTTGAAAATGGCGACTTTATAAGTTGTATAATTTAGGATGTTGTAACAAAACTTATCTCCATGCACAACAGCCCCGACAACCGACGGTTCCACACGAAGAATGAGATGCGAATGTATTTGGAGAACAACCCATCGCTAATAAACGAGGGATATGAACACGTGTTGACGGACTTTGGCGTGCACCTAAAGTTGGCGCGTCGTATGGGATGGATCACTCACACCGAGGAGGAATTGCCCTCCGCAGCGCCCCTCCCCGCCGGCACGCTCAGCTGTACCTCCCCGCTATACAAACGTAAGAAACTCTCTCTTAAGAAGAAGAGAGATGGCAAAGAAAAGAGACCTAAGATTACCATCAAGATGAAGGTGCCAAAGGATGTAAGTGTCGATTTGTTTTGTAAATAACTTTCGCTTTTAGTCCACGACTTTATTCGGCCATAAGGACATAAAGATATGGACTTTAATACCTATTTTTTGCCAATAGCGTCCACCATCAGAAGATCCCGTCTCTTCTCCAAGTTTACTAAGTGGCAATGATAATTCTCCAGCGCTAGAACCTGCAATAGAAGTTCCTCCATTAGAAGATGGATATGGTATGCTCTTTAACATATTACAAATATTAGTACGGTTTTATGTCTTAACAGAATATTAATATTTAGTTATCTTTTCAGTGTACGTCGGCTCATTAAAAGTTCAAATAATCGAGAATCTCCTCCGATGTCCAGCAGAGGGCTGCTTCAAGAACTTCCGAAACAACACTCTAATACAAATGCATATCAAACACTATCACAGAGAACTGCGAAAGATGTTGGGAGACACACCGAAAGTTCTAGACCTCGCGTACGCAAGGACAAAGCAGCCCATTGAGTTAGAGAGCCCAAGAGTTACCAACGACAAGGTGATCAAAGTGAAGATACCGAGACCTCCGAAACGGGAAGAGCCTAAACAAGAAGTGAAAGAAGTGAAACCAGAACCTCAAGTAGATACAACACCAGTTGCTCCAGTGAAGGAGCCTGAACTACCAATACCAAGGAGTCAGGATTCGCCCAAGCTTCGGCAGGCTTTAAGCAACAAGCCAGTGAAGAGACCGCGGGTGTTATTGCCCGTTAGAAGACCTGATCCAGAGCCAGTATTGCCTGAACCAGTAAACGAAGACGTAGATGTGGAGAACACAGAGAACATCGAGCCTGGCATTGAGATGCCATCTTTGAACATGGAATTGGACTTTGAGAGTGCGATATCTACGCACACAGTCACCAAGCCTGTTACTGAGAAGAAGAGAAAAGCTGAGAAGAGACGTAAGACCTTTGCTTTGGCTGCTAAACGGCCGGCAAGTGAGGAAGAAGACTGGTTGGGAGCTAATTCTGACTTCGACACGCGGTCAAGCTTCCCGCGGTCAGGAACACCCGACTCTAAAGCCGACCTCAAGGTCGCGCCGGTGTCTTCTGAGTCTAACGAGGAGAATAAGGACTCTAATATGTATATGTATACTGAGAGTAAGTACTTTTTACTGCCATAGGCCTAGATTGTTGTATTATTAAATTGCAGTTACCATAAGCTTAGGTAATAAATAGCACATTTAGATAAAACTTTGTGCATTGGCATAGAATAGTTTTGCTATAAAGACTTAAAAGTGGCTGCAGTGAAGTGCGGCACATAGATTTCCTTGCTTTTTTACTTTGATTGACATATTATTCTTATGTTCATAACATATTTCCTTGTTCAGACGGCGAGCGTATAAAGATAGTGCACATGAAGCGCGAGGAGATAATAAACTGCCACTGCGGGTTCCGCGAGGAGGACGGACTCATGGTGCAGTGCGAGCTCTGTCTCTGCTGGCAACACGCGCTCTGTCACAACATACAGAGGGAGTGCGACGTAAGTACCATTTGTGTTATAATCGTGAATTTATTTTAGTCTTTAATCCATTGGTTGGTCACATTTCAATTTATTTATATTTATACTGACGCTTTTGAACGCGTTGAAGCAAGAAATTCTCGTCATTCATCCAAATTTTTATGGAAATGGTGATGTTGAAAAACAGGAAAATTCAAATTTTTTGTTTCGTTACTTATTTATTTTCCCTTATTTACTTGCTTAGAGGCGCTTTATACAGACAATATTTTTTATACAAATTAAAATTACAGGTCCCCGAAAAATACACATGCAGTATATGCCTAAACCCTCGTCGAGGGCGTAGATCCCAGCGCTTCCTTCACGACCAAGATCGCATGTACGAAGGCTTACTACCGGGCGGCAAACCATGTGAGACATTACGGCGCTCTCACGAACTCGCTGGGAATCTACTGCGCATTGAGGACGCATTACACGCACTCAGAGTCAAGTACTATGTTGCTACGTAAGTGTAGATTTTTTAGCTTATAATGAATTTGAATATCTAAGAAATCTTACACGATCCTAAATCGTGACCACTAATGTGACAACTGACAACCTTTAGCTGATTCTGTAAATGTTTGAGAGCATTTGTTATAAACAAAGTTATCTCACTTTATATCTGAACTAGCTTTTACCCGCGGCTTCGCTTCGCGTCACAAAAGGGTAAAAGTAGCCTATGTGACATATACTAATACACACAGCGCCATCTATACCAATTCTTTTGTTTTCCCTCGGGAATATAAAAAAAATCCGGGATAAAAATTACCCTATTATTTAATCCGGACTTCTAACTTTACGTCTGCAAAAATTCAAAGCAATCGGTTTAGAAGTTACGGCGTGAAAGCGGAACAAACAAACTCACTTTCCCATTTATAATAGTAGGGATTTCGGACACTGACCTGTAGTAGTCAAATATGAAAGACCAAACTCATCAATTTGGTTTCTGTTTACTGAATAAAGTAATTGGCAAACATTAATAAAGCATATTAATGATTTACAGCAAAAAAGACCACCCCAAGTTATACCTATGGGCCAAGGATTGGGAGCAGCTTGAGATTCAGAACACGCAGGAGAAGCTAAATTCTGATTATTCAGATCTGAACATTATGATTAATATGGACAAGGAGAACAAACCTATTAAACCGGAAGATGTAAAGGACATACAGTTGGACTTAAAGACTCCACCATCTGAAGAACAAGACCAGGAAAGGTTGGTGAACATTTAAATTTATAAGAAAGAAATAGGGATCACTGGTGTTACGGGCGTCCAGGGGCGGCCGGCGCTTAATGCTGACCATTAATAAGAATACCATTTCATTGTCACCGAATAATAGAACAGTATTTACCCTGATGTTTTATTTAATAATTTTATAGTTAATTATTATCACATGCATACCATAACATCACGCTTTTTATCCTCGACGGGGTAGGCAGAGGTGTACATTATATCAATGTAACACCCACTTTTCACTATGTTATGAATCCTATGTAATAGGGGTGAGGGCCTATTGCCATTTACCGGGCACAATTCCTGATTCCGTGCTACTGCTGAGATTTTTTGAAAAAATCCAATAATACTTTGCCCGACCCGGAAATCGAACCCGAGACCCCGCGACTTTTTTACGACCACTCAGCCAATGAGGCAGTCATTTTAACATTTATTATCACATCTGTCAAAATTTCATCTCTTTCATATTACAATTATTTCTTATCACAGGTATACACATAAGGACGCGCAGCTCGGGGCTCAGTCGCTACTGAGTGGGTTACTGTCGAGTCCGGGCGACGCGTCACTCGACTTACCTATCAGCACATCAGAGTTGGAGCGACTCGCTATATCTGTGCAAGGTGAGCTTATGCATATCTATCTTCTGCTTACGCCTATCTTTAAGTCATTGGGGAAGGCCTATGTTCAGTAGTGGATATGATATGATGATGATGAAGCTTATGCATATTATAAATTAATGGAACTTAAAATAACACGTGTATCCCTGTTTTTTACTGATCCAGGTTCGAATAGTGAATGTTGCGTTTGATATACGAATTTGTCATAAACTGATATTAGCAGTCTAAGTCAAAATAAGTACTACTGCTACCTGTGCCTTTAGCTAAACGCCACTTTAGCGCTTGTCTACAGAGAGAGTAGAAATCAAAATATATGGGGATGAACAAGTAGACAAGCGCTAAATGGCATTTGGCTACAGCTGCAGTAGTACTTATTTTCATTCACATCGAATATAAATAAGTGTACCAACACCATGTTCCAATCTGACTTACGCCTGTAATTGATTTAATTTCCACAGAGCAAGAAGCCCAACGCGCCATGATAGTGGCCCCTCAACCCGAGCCTCCCATAGAGAACGCGACCTGTCGCCGCCAGCTACTGAAACACTTACAACGCTGCCAGGCACTCATCGACGCCAGGCTAGACTCCATCGAGGCGCAGGTTGCAGGTAAGCTATGTAGATAATACTTACTGAATAGTAAATAACCGGAGGCCCAATTACCCCCTTCCCCAGTTTGCCCAATCCCCGAATCCCCCACAGCCCTCAAATTCCTAATTCCCAAAAGGCTGGTAACGCACTTGTAACGCCTCTGGTTTTTCGGGTGTCCATGGGCGACGCCGATTGCTTACAATCAGGTGATCCGTCTGCCCGTTTACCGGCTAAATCGTTAAAAAAAATTAGTAGGGAGGCAAGTGTGCTGGCATATTTGTCTAAAAAACTTATAAATGTCAACACTATCAACTGAACACACAACAGAACTTTTAACTTTCTCATATTAAGAACTCAAATTAAATCATTGTAACGTTGTTAGAGGATAATGGTTATTTATAGGTTACTTAACAATCCAGGAAGAATGTATAGTTTTATAATGTCAAACTTCAAGTTGATATTGGCTCTGTACATGGTGATCTAAAAAAAACGGCTGACCAATAGATGACACATTTTATATTGATTTACTTCTTTAAAAAAAATATTAATACATGTACCCCCACACAAGAATCACTGAGTCGATTAGTAATATTATTGTTTTTAATTCCAGAACTAGAATCTCAAGACCCGTCATTCGAGGACGATGAAACAGCCGAGTACTGCCCGCGCACCAAGCAGACGGTGCAGATGCTGATGCGAGATCTGGAGACCATGGAGGAGTTGGGAGTCATCACGTAGACTTACTCATTACATGGAATTAGGGATAGTATTAAAAGAAGTATTTATAAGCATAATACTATGAATTTATTGCACATTACTGTCACATTACATAAGGGCTTGCCCGCACTACGATTTCTTCCCGAGAGTGGTTAATCGCGAAATATTTGGAGACGTAATATTATGCCCCGCAATTTTCATCCTTACCGAGTCCTATGAATTTTGCAATAGAATGTTTTTTGACAATTTTTTAAAATCAGTTGTGGATGAAAACACATGAAAGGCATTCGTTTGGTTGTTTTATAAAGTCGCGCTATTGAGACCGCTACAGTGTAACAGTGTGTATTGCGGCCTATGCCTAAATGGACAAAAGGAAGCAAACAAGTAGTGCCTTGTTTAAAATGAACTAAGTGAGGAGTTTGTCATAAAATGAATATTAAGTTATTGTGTTTATGACGGTAATGATGATATTTTGTTCCATAAAACCATTTTGTTCTAATAGTAAATCGAATACTACAAACTAGGTACTTTTTCGGTATTCGTACACACAAATACCGAAAAAGTTGCAAAGCTTTAATGTATTTCTTAGGTTTTAAAATTATATATTTTGTAATAGTTGTGCCTGCAGCTCTCACGCAATAATGTATATGTATAGTTCATAAAAAATTGATATATAATTATTTTACTGTTCTTACCTTACATAATTCAGTCCAGTCATTCCCAAGTTTTAGTGAGACTAATGAACAGAAATTGATGTATAATTATGTATAAAAAACTAATGATATGACTATAATTTGTAAATAAATTACTGCGAAAAAATTGCCATATATATATCTGTTCTAAGTGTTATTGCAATTACTAAGTCATAGTAAGTGAAAATGTTTTCATAAAGTCTATATTCCTGATGTTATTAATATATGTAGGTAGGTAATATGATGGCTAATAATGTTGAATGTGAAGATACCAAAATAGAAATAAAGGATCGCACAAGGAACATTTCTTTCATTTATACCTGTAAGATAATAAAGTCAAATCAACAAAGAAAAACCCACCAGTTAAAATTAATACAGTTTGGCTCATTCCAGGCCATTCATTCATTAATTCAGTCACTTCCACCCTATTCATTAATCAGCAACAATATCTTTAAAGGGGTGTGTGTATGAGGATGAGGTATAGGATCATAATTTCTATATTTTTGGGCAGTCCTCTAAGATTTTAAGATACTGCATGATTTTCATGTGGACAGGGCAATAGTTTTTGGGTGTAATTGTTTTTTAGTGTTACATATTAATTTTGCCCTTGTCATACTTTTTTCACTATAAGTATGTCTAATCAACATTTATGTATGTTACACAATATTACTACAAGAAGGACTTACATAATAATGTAACTATTATCCATTTACATCTATTTCAACGGCTCTACGAAATCAGCCCACCAACACGATGGGAGAGCCGACCTGAACCACCTGTTCACGAGTATGACGTGTGAGTCAGCAATTGGTCCAGTCAGCCTTTTTATTGGGAACGGAACAACCCAAGACACTGCGCCACCGACTCCAATAGAACTTACAATAGTTCTAGTAATAGTCATACAGTGGGTGCTATTTAAAAATATGAATCTCAAAATCTAAGCTGGTTTAAACTGTCAAACACCAAGCGGTCACCGGTGACCGGGACCTATTGTTCTTTAATTGTGTCTATAAAACCGGTACTCGACGAGTTAACCCATGGTATGCCGGGAACATAGATATAAGCTGACAGATAAGAAGTTAAGAGGGTTCTCATTCTCTTACCATGGAGGGCTAGTGCAACAGAGCAGCGTGATGATATAACAAACCTTATGATGAATAAAAAACCACATATTTGTTTCCAAAAGTTTTATTACTTACAAAATAAAAGTACAAAGAGCAAATGCAAATTAACCCTCATAGAATTTCGGTAGCTGGTCGCCAAGAATTACAGAGCGTTCCACACCAGCTTCAGTGATGACTCCGAGCCTCACAACACCTCCGGATGAGCCGTCACGAAGGATGGCAAGCGTCAGGGTGTTGGTGACAAACTTGATAGCTTCCTCCTTGGTCATGTTGGGCTTGAAGTTGGCATCCACATAACCATAAACATAGGTTGAACCGGACCCTCCAATGGAAACTTGTTGGCGTTGCACCATACCACCGATGGGGACTGAGTAGATTTGTCCTGAAAGGATAGAAAAGTTTAATATAACAATAAAATATGCAAGAACAGCTGTGAATGATTCTTTTTATGGAGTTTAGGGTAAACATTGGGTAGGGCAGGAACTTGGCTGAAAAATCTAAACTCTGTTAATAGTAAATTTATTTAATATATATCATTTGGTTACTCTCCTCTGCATCGCCCAAGGGTCAGATTGGTAGAATTTTCCTATGGTATTAAGTGCACCCATGTGCTTCTTTGTGTGCATAAAGTTTTTTAAACAAGCAATAAAAAAATATTATGATTGTTTGTTTGTATTGCTCTAAGAACACAATTTTTTTTATACTTTTATGTACCATTAAAATATTGGAAAGTTTACTTTTCCAGGAAGATAGCTTTTCATAGGTTACTTTTTATCCTAATATTTCTATGGGGTCTATTTATCTTCTAAATTCCATATAGGAAGTCAAGATATTCTTTCTCTTGAGCTTTTCCCAATTAGTTCTGGGTCTTAACCAGAACATCAGGAGTTTACAGTGATGGCCAGATATCAAGTAAATTAAGTACCTCCATTCTTCTTGTCCCAGCCGGCAACCAGAATACCAGCGACCAAGGAGTCACGGTAATTGTAGCAGAGCTCACGGAATATAGCAGCAGCAGTGTGGACTAGGGGAGGCTCTCCCAGCTCCATCTTGTGGAAATCTGAAAACAAACAGTTATACAATTAATTTCTTCAATTAGAAAACTTGAATTGGTTGATAGTTTAGAACCTATATACAGTTGTGATTGTGACACCATTGTTTTACCTTTGAAATATACTACACACAATAGAAAATACAATGGCTTGCTTAGATTAGATGTATTTTCCAACAAACTACAATAGGCAACAGCAATAGGCTATCTGTGTAGATAGCCATAGACATGCATTCTAGCAATTCTAAGAGACTAGAAGATTATTCCGACTTATAGTATGCACAATGATTATTTCTACGCGTTTAAAGAATAGAAATGCTCTTTGTAGTCATCAGTTTACTTGGGTCCATTTAAGATCAATTAAATTTTCTTTTTCTTATGATTCTATGATTACAAATCAGCAAATAGCGAACAACAAACCTAAAACAAACTTATTGAGTTTCAAGTGCCGCTCAGGGGGTATCCCTAGGAGTTTGTTAAATCTTATTGGAACAAAGTATGTTAAGAACGGTTCACTCACTCAAATGATAAGTTACAATATCAGCAATAGCTTGGGTGTCAGCCGCCGATCCAGATCTGCAGCAGTAAATATGATCAGTGATCCTAGTGAGCTTGTCAGTCACTCTGTTGGCAATGTAAGCTCCGGTCGTGGTGCGAGAGTCGGCGCCAATGACTACACCACCGTTGAACTCGCACGCCATGATCGAAGTCCCTGTGCTGTGCGGAGCATTCATCCATTCAGGAATGCAAGGGTCGCTGTACGCGTTCACTACTGATGCCGCCATATTTACTGAAATTAACAAAAATAGGTAATTTAATCAAAACATGCTAAGGAATAAGGTATGAAACCACAATAATGAGAAAACCGAAGACAGCATTTTCAATTGTTTGTTGTAGCGTCATTGCAACATTTTCGTTTTGAAATAGTCTATAGTAACAGAAAATATGATTAAAGTATTTAAGAAAGACGGTTGGTAGTTGATACTTACATGAATTTACACTAAAAACTTAACAATTATTTAGCTAAAACAATTTATGAAAGTCACGGTTTGATGCGGTGAATACCAATTTCTGTTGTCACTGTCAAAATTGGAACGTCATCGAAACTATCAACTCATGCAACGTATAATCCGGAACAGGCAGTAATTTAAAAGTTTATTGTGTAATATTTAAAAGAATATATTTTTATTTGCAGTTTAAAATTACAAATGTAAACTGAATTGTTGATTTTACAATATGTTTTATTTTAATAGTATACTGTGTTGATTAGAATATTATAGGCTTATTCGAGCATTCAAAACAATAAAAAATCCAACGCGTAACGGAACGTAGCGAGTCTACGTTCCTTTATACGTAATCCTGTTTAGTATGAGCATTCAAAAATCACAATTTATAAAGCGTAAAGGAACGTAAGTAATACGTTTCTTTGTACGCAAGCATTAATTGATTTTTACATTTTTTTCTAGAAAATAAATAAAGTTTTTTTTTGGTCTAACAAAAAGACGACGGTAATTTCGTTTTTTAATATTATTATCAGGTACACTTCCGTCATAGATAAGAATAATTCTTCATTCTTTTCACAGGATACAGATTAAGGGCATGAACAGTAGATAAGACCAAAACATTAGACGAGAAGTTATATGTAACTGCGTTGCTTGTTTTTTGGGCATTACAGGGTTGAAGGTTTTGAGGATAGGGAGGATGATTTAGGGGAGAATGGGGCCATCGTAATTCTTCTCGTTGTTTCTACTACCTACTACTTTAATCAGATTTAAATCGGTTATTGTTACCTACTATCTACGGTTGGTCCTCAGAAAGCATATCTAATTACTAAATACATTGGTCAAGGACAATTCGGTAACAGCACCACTGATATTAGGTATTATCTTCTCAATGAGGTCTAATTTTATTAGTGCACCTGTGTTTGCGCACTCATTTCTGGGCTATAAATATCCACTAAGTAATTTCAAAGCAGAACGCAGTCTTATACCTAACTGGCCGCTGTGCGACATACTTACCTATCTAGAGGAAGATCGGTTTACGGCCGATCTCAATAACATACTTACCTTTGACTATCTGTTACATTACCGATCTTTAGTAGCTACAAACGCATTTTTGCGTTTCAATAAACTAAAGATAGATAGGAATATCTAT